AAAGTCCATGAGGTAAGACCCTAGATTTAGCTTGTTTACAAGTTATGCATCGACTACAAATTCGTTCCACATCAACTTTCATTTTAAGCCAATAAAAATGCCCAGTTAATATTTCTAAAGTCTTTGCTACCCCCAAAGTGATCCATTAGACCCCCATTATGTGCTTCTCTAACCAATAATTCACGCATAGAGCAATTACGAACACATAATTTATTTTCCCGAAACAAGTACTCCTCATGCTTAAAGATCTTATCTACAACCCCTTTATGACATGGATTGTAAATGTTAGAAAATTCAGAATCATTAGCATACATGTCCTTAATATACTCAAAACCAAACAATTTTGCACTTAAAGTAGTTAAAAGAACATACCTTCGCAACAATGCATCTGCTACTACATTTTCATTACCTTGTTTGTAACGAATGACATATGAAAAAGTTTCTATGAATTCCATCTAGCGTGCATGTCGTTTGTTTAACTTACCTTGACCCTGCAAATGTTTCAGTAATTCATGATCAGAATGAATTACAAACTATTTTGGCCACAGGTAATGCTGCCTTGTCTCCAAGGGTCGAACAAGTGAATATAGCTCTTTGTCATACGTAGGATAGTTGAGAGTTGCACCACTTAGCTTCTCGCTAAAGTAGGCTATAGGTCTCTTATCCTGTATTAAGACTGCTCCAATACCTATTCCTGATGCATCACACTCATTCTCGAAAGTATTGTCAAAGTTAGGAAGTGCTAAAATCAGTGCTTTACACAAACAATCTTTGATGGTGTTGAATGCATGTTCTTGTTCTACCCCCCATTGAAACCCCATATTTTTCTTGACAATTTCATTTAGTGGCATGGTAATCGTGCTGAAGTTTCTAACAAAACGCCTGTAAAAACTTGCCAATCCATGAAAACTTCTAACTTCAGTTATGTTTTTAGGTGTTGGACAATCCTTAATAGCCTTTATTTTCTCTTCATCTACCTCTACACCATTAGCACTAACTACAAAACCTAGAAATACAACCATATCCATGCAAAATGTGCACTTTTTAAGATTAGCATAAAATTGTTCTTTCCTCAAAACCACATGCACACACCTCAAATGTTCTACATGCTCATCAAGAGTCTTGCTATATATTAAAATTTCATCAAAATAAACTACAACAAATTTTTCAATGAAAGCACACAAAACATGGTTCATTAACCGCATAAAAGTGTTTGGTGCATTTGTGAGTCTAAACGGCATGACTAACCATTCATACAATCCATATTTAGTTTTAAAAGCCGTTCTCCATTCATCACCCTCCCTCATGCGAATTTGATGATACCCACTTTTAAGATTAATTTTACTGAAAATACATGCACCATGTAGCTCATTTAGCATAACATCTAGCCTAGGAATTAGATGACGATACTTTACCGTAATGTTGTTGATGGCTCTGCAATCTATGCACATTCTCAAAGTTTCATCTTTCTTTGACACCAGCAATATTGGTACTGCACATGGACTCATGTTTTCCCTTACAAATCCTTTGCCTTTGAAGCTCCTTTGTCTCCTCTGGATTACTTCGATAAGCCGGTCGATTCGGATTGACAGCGACAGGTATGAAATCAATTTGTTGCTCAATTCCTCTAATGAGTGGTAGCCCACTAGGCACGTCCTCCAAAAACACGTCTTCAAATTTCTGCAACAAAGAAATAGCCAAACTAGGGAGGGATGTGTTATGCTCCTCAAAGTTGAGGAGTGATTCCTTGTAAACCAACAGTATCATTTGTTGCCTCTCAACTATTACCTTTTTCAATTCACTCCCTCTCACAAAGAAATTTTGTTTCGACTTTTCTTTTCTCTCGAAAGACTCTTTCTTTTCTCTCATATGACTCTACTCTCTTTTCCTCTCTATTGGCCACATCACTATTTTCTCTCTTTTTCCCTAACTCCCTCACTCTCGCTTCTTCTTCATTTTTCAATTGCATTTGATCATCATATACTTGTGTCGGTGTTAATGGCGCAAGAGTGATAGACCTTCCATTTTTTAAAAAGCTATACTTATGTTTTTACCTATCATGCATTGTACTGTCATGGTCTCCCTAATAAAATATGCGCCGCATGCAAAGGTACAATATCGCACATTACCTCATCCTGATATTTACCAATGGAAAAATTAATCAACGCCTTTTTTGTCACCTTAACTTCCCCACATTCATTTAGCCATTGTGATTTATAAGGCCTACGATATTTTAACAGTTTCAAATCTAATTTTTCCACCATGTTAGTGTTAGCCACATTAGTACAACTACCGCCATCTATTATCACACTACATACCTTCGCTATTGACGTGACATCGCGTGTGGAATATGTTTTCTCGCTACTGCTCCAAGTCATCCACTTTGATTTGAGCATTCAGAGCTCGTCTCGTGACAAACAACTTCCTGTTAACTGCATACTCCATTGTATATTCTTCATCAACATCCTCCAATTCTGACATGTCTACATAATCACTTTCCACTTTTAGTTCCACTTCCCCGCTGTCCTGCAGAATCACGGTTTTCTTATTTGGGCATTGAGAAGCAATGTGCCCACTCCCAAGCAACGAAAACATTTGATGTCTCTATTTCTTGATGACTCTGACTCCTCCTTTGGCACGGCCTTGCCAGCATTCTCCTCCTTCCCTCTTGGTACCTCAATTCTTCCTCTTGCAACAGTTCCTTCTCCTTTGTTATTGTCCTACTTCGGTTTCCCAGAAGAATTAGAACCCGAAGATCCCGATTGGTACCTTGCTGTCCCCTTTCGCTTCAACTGCCTCTCGACCTTCACTGCCACATGTAACATGTCTTCAATTTTCACATAGTGTTGTAATTCCACTATATTTGCAATGCCCCTGTTCAATCCACGCAGAAATCTTCCTCCACATTTGCCCTAATCATTAGTATCTCCATCTCTTTATGGTAATCTTCCACACTCCTGGAGCCTTGATATAAATTTTGTAATCTTTGATGAAGCTCCCGGTAGTAGTGAGTAGGTACAAACCTCTTCCGTGTTATAGTTTTCAATTCCTCCCATGTATTGATAGGTCTCCGCCTCAAAGTCACCACCTGATCCCACAAAGTGATTGCATAGTCCGTGAATTTAAGAACTGCAGTTTTCACCTTCTTCTCTCTTGAGTAATTGTAGCAACCAAAGACTAACTCAATTTTCTTCTCTCAGTCCAAGTAGGCCTTCGGATCACTCCTACCTTTGAACAAAGGAGTGATCATTTTAATGTTACTTAAATTCCCATCCACCTCATCTCCACCAAGATTCGTGCCTCTCTTTTCTTGCCTAACTCCTCTATTTCTACCCCTTCCAATATTTGCATCCACAATCGCATCTTCATCCATCCCACTATCACCTCAAATTCACTAAGCTCCTCCATCCTAGGTTCCCGTCTACCATGTCTCCGTGCATTAAGACCTTCCCTTCGTGTATTGCCAGTCAATAGATTTTGCCTTTCCCCCCATGCATCCTACCTATCCATCTGATCCCTCATATCTACACATATCCGCTCAATCCTTCGTACCGAGTCCTCTAGCATGGAAACCCGATCATCAATTCTACCTGAACTCGATCCTTCCCTGTCAGACATCCTAAATCTAAGTTATTTTTCTGCCTCACAATTGTTCACTCGGAATTTCACTCAATATGGATTTTTCCCTCGATTGTTCTCACCGCTCTGCCTTTTACCACTCGTTGCTTCACCAAGTCTCCAAAAGAACAATTTTGAAACTCAATCAAAAATTTAATCACGTGAAATTCAAACCGGTGTGAGTGAGATTACAAGATCAAGAAATTTAGAACAATTTGACTGGCAATTCAAACTAGACAAGTAAAGAAATTGACTCAAAAACGCAAAACAAGAAAGAAAATTACTGACTGAAAATTTAAACTAGGCACAAAATAATAAATTTACTCAAGAAATCGATAATTCTCAAGATTAACAATAATAATAACAATTTTTTTTAAAATCAGAATTTTTTTGGAATTTTTTTTACTGTACTGATGAACAGTACCATATGGGTGAACAGTATTTTTTTTAACTCTTGGGATAGAAAAATCAAAAACAAAACTGACACAACAAACGGAAGTTGATTTGGATGCAAATTAAATCCAAAAACAACTTTTGAAGTTTTTTTTATAACTTTTTTAGATTAAAAACTCTAAAATACTAACTGACTCGAAAAACAGTAAATAAAAGGAATAACTGATTCAACAAGAATTAAAAAGAGATATAACATTGGATTGGAGCCAAAATCTGATACCAACTGATGTGAACTCGCGTAGGCAAATGCGATGAAACCCACAAATAAAATGAAAATCTTCCCAAGAAAGCCAAAGCAAGGTTTTGGATTCAAATTCAATAAATCTGGAACCAAGCAACCTGAATAGCCGACGATGTGCAGACCTCTTGATTACACAAAATTATGGAATCTCACCTGATTAATTTGAACGCCACAAAAAATAGATATTGATAAGTTCGAAAGTTGTTCAATTGAAAGAACAAAGAGAAAACAATTAAAGTCTTTCAGTTAATCAATATTTCAAAGGTTCATTTACAATGAAGAAATAAACTTCTATTTTATGCTAAATCCTAGAATAGAAGTCAAAAAGGAATAAAATACTAATAATCTAGTTGAATCTCGAAAATAACCATCCAATATCAAAAGAATTTGACTAGGAATAAAATTCTAACAAAATATGGAAAAAAACGCGAAAAAAGGAAATTTTGTCCTCGAAATAACACTATGCGACCGCATAGTGTAAACCTATGCAGTTGCATAGTTCACTTGAACTATGACCACATTGGCTCTACCACACCCTTTGCGACCACAAGCCCCGTTCTACTATGCGGTCGCATGGTAGACCAATTTGCCTTCGTTTTCGTCAACTTGTATTGAGTTGATCCAATTTGATCCGACTCTTGACCCGAACATGAAAGTTGCCTCATTTTGCGTTTTGAACATCGTTCCATCAATGGTTTCTTGAACTAGCAATCACATCGCCTCTTTTACTCGCTTCGTCCTCGCTCGAGTCATTGGACCACCCTCGACTATCAACAGATCTTTCTTCGAGCTTGACGTTGGACTTGACATTGACGCTTGCGGCTCCTGGATCACATTAGAAAGGCCACCAAGATGTGCGATGGAAACGCCAATCTAAGTGGCTTGACGCCTTATTTAATAGTCAACAACAATTATTGAATATTAATGCACACCAGGTATGGCTATTCTAACCTAAGCGCACATAATTATCTTTTTTATCTTAATTTTAATTAATTAATTAATTAATTTATTTCTTCAATTCTTCCAATTTAAAACTTAAATATTGATTTCTTCACTTCGTCGATCCTAAATTCAAAACAGTCGCTTGAAACCTTGAACAAATAAAATTTTCCATTCTATTTATTTACTATTTAATATTTACATATGAAACTTATGTTTTTGTTAAAAACTTTGGAAAAATGTATAAATTTTCCATAAATTTGTTTTAGATGTGTGGTATGTATTATTTTTAATTATTTAATGATTTTTTAATTGATTAAAAATTAAAAATGTAGGGTTGTTATAAAAGTGAAGAAAAGAGAGGAGAACGGAGAGAAATTAATAGATTTTTGTGTGTTTTATTATGAACCAAAGCACTGTATTTATAGGGCAGAATCAAGGATACAACAGTAATTATTTCTAGGGTTGTAGGGGTATAATTGTCATTAACCTCTAAATCCTAATAAACTTTTCTTTTATAACACTCTCCTTTAAATGACACATTACAAAATATTTATCTCATTAAAACCTTATTTGATAAAAATTCAATGAAAAAAAATCAAAACCTTATAAGGAAAACCTAGTGGGACAAAACCTAAGCGAAGGAAAAAGAGTACAGCTACTCCCCTTGATGTGATCACTGAAAATATTTGAGTCGATGCATTTCAATCTTTTGATTGAACTAATTTCTTGAATGTAAATGTTGACAGCGCTTTTGTGAATAAATCGGCCACATTGTCACTTGAGAGCGAATTTGTTGGATATCGATGTTACCATTCTTTTGAAACTCATGTGTATGAAAGAATTTTGGAGAAATGTGCTTCGTTTTGTCACCTTTGATATAACCTCCTCTGAGTTGTGCAATACAAGCCGCATTATCTTCATACAAAATTATTAGACTATCATTTGTTGAAGTTAATCCGCATCTTGGATATGATGGGTCATGTTTCTCAACCATACACATTCTCGGCCTACTTCTTGGATTGCAATAATTTCAGAATGATTTGAGGATGTAACTGTCAATGATTGCTTCACAGATCTCCATGATATAACTATTCCTCCATGTGTAAATACATATCATGTTTGTGATTTAACTTTATGTGGGTCAGATAGATAACCTGCATCTGCAGATTCCGACTTTTGAGAATAAAATAATCACAAATCAATGATATCCTTTAAGTAACGAAAAATATGTTTAACATCATTCCAATGTCTTTGAGTTGGTGTAGAGCTATATCTTGTAAAAAGATTTATAGAAAAAGTTATGTCTAGTCGAGTGCAATTTGCAAGATAAGTTAATGCTCCAATTGCACTAAGATATGGTACTTCAGGACCAAAAACATTTTTCCATTTTCAAGTGGACGAAATCGATCTTTTTCCACATTAAGTGATCGAACAACCATAAGTGATGCCAATGGATGTGCATTATCTATGTAAAAACATTTTAAAACTTTTCTGTATACGCAGATTGGTGAACAAATAATCCATTTGCGAAATGTTCAATTTGCAATCCAAGACAAAATTTGATTTTTCCTAAATCCTTCATCTCAAATTCTTTTTTCAAATAATCAGCAGTTTTGTTGAGCTCTTCAGGAGTTCCAATTAATTTTAAATCATCAACATAAATTGCCACAATTGCAAATCCACTGTTTGTTTTCTTTATGAAAATACATGGGCAGACATTATCATTTTTATAACCCTCATTTAACAAATATTCGCTATGTCGATTATACCACATACGTCGGGATTGTTTTAATCCATATAATGATATTTACAATTTAATTAAAAACATGGTTCTCGAGCATATATCATTTGTTCTTGACACCTTAAGTCCTGCAGAGACTTATATATATGTCACTATCAAGTGAACCATACAAATATACAGTTACTACATCCATAAGACGCATAGCAAGCTTTTGTGATACAATCAAATTAATTAAAAATCTAAAAGTGATGGTATCCATTACAGGAGAATATATTTCTTCATAATCAATTCCTAGTTTTTGTGAGAAACCTTGAGCTATTAATCGGGCTTTGTACCTTGTAATTTCATTATTTTCATTTCTCTTTCGTATAAAAATTCATTTGTATCTAACAGGGGATTATATTTTCAGGTGTTTGAACTACAAGTCCAAACACTTTTCGTTTCTCCAATGAATTTAATTCCGCCTGTATGGTTTCTTTCCATTTGGGCCAATCATTTCTATTTTGACAGTCTTTAACCGACTGTGGTTCAGGATCCTCATTTTGCATAATATCAAGCACAATATTAAAAGCGAAAATATTGTCTATAACAACATTATTTCGTTCCCATAATTTATGAGATAACATATAATTTATTGAAATCTCATTATTTTCAGACACTTGTGGTTCTTTAGGAATTGTATTTTCAATATATGATTGATCGATCTTTTCTAACGTGATTTCTTTCGAAGTTTTTTGTTGGTTTTCCTCATGTACCTTTCTTTTTGGAGGCACAGAGTCTTTTGAACCAACTGGTCGACCACGCTTCTGGCGTATTTAAGATTCATTGCTATAGTAGATTGTCCTACAAGGACATCAATTTTTGTTGAAATATTTTCTACTGGAACATATGACTTTGTCACTTTTCTTGTGTCAACAAATATATCAGATAATTGATTTGCAACTCTTTGCAAATGAATGCTTTTTTCAATCTCTTGCTCACATTGATTGCTACGGGGATCAAAATGAGATAGAGTTGTTTCATTCCAAGTAATTTTACTTGATTTTCAGGATGTAGTTTTTTCCCTCCCAAAGTTGGGAAAGTCATTTCATCAAAATGACAATCTGGAAAACGTGTAGTAAATAAGTTATCCATTAAATGCTCAAGATACCTAATAATTGATGGTAAATAAAACCCACAAAATCCCAAGTCTTTGTTGGGGACCCATTTTGGTACGTTGTGGGAGGTGAAATAGGGACTTGGACAGCACAACTAAAGACTCATAGGTGAGAAATATCATGTTCATAACCAAATGTCAGTTGCAAAAATGAATATTGATAATAGGCAGTTGGTCTAATACGAACCAATGATTCAGCATTTAATAAGCATGACCCAAACAGAAGTTGGGAGTTCTGTTTTCATAAGTAATGATCTAGCAATAAGTTGTAGGCGTTTAATAAACAACTCTACCAAACCATTTTGTGTATGGACATGCGCAACTGAATGTTCAATTACAATCCCGATTGACAATCATCGAATCCTTGTGAGCTAAATTCACCAGCATGGTCAAGGCAAATAGTTTTAATTAAGTAATCGGAAAATTGTGCTCGTAATTTTATAATTTGAGCAAGTAGTCTAGCAAAAACTACATTCCTAGCGGAAAGTAGGCAAACATGTTACTATCTAGTAGAAGATCAATTAATAACATAAAATAACGAAATAGTCCATATAGTGAGTGTATTGGCCCACATATATCTCCATGAATTCTTTCCAAGAAAGTTGGAGAGGCAATATTAACCTTTGTAGTTGAAGGTCTAATGACTAACTTGTCTTCCGAACAAGCTACACATGGATAATCATTAGGTAAAAAAATCTTCTGTTTCTTTAAAGGATGTCAATGTGAACTGTTTATTATTCGATGCATCATTATAGCTTTTGGATGTCCAAGCCAGTCATGCCAAAGAATAAAGCTTTTTGGGTCAACGAACTTCTGGTTTATGACATTATTTGATTCAACAATTTTTATAAATGTATAAGACATACCAGATGGGAGTGAATAAAATTTTTCTTTTATCTGCTTTTGACTAGATATAAAAGAAGTTATGCAAGGATATTCGACATTATCTTCTTGCGTCGTCTCAATATGATATTCATTACAGTGGATATCTTTATAGCGAAGCAAATTTTTTCTGGATTTGCTAGAATAAAGAGTATCGTCAATATATAATTTTGTATTATTTCGTAAATTAATACAAACTCTTCCGAAACCTTCAATGATATTCGATGCACCTGATATTGTATTGACATTATTTTCTTTCAATGTTAAGTATAGGAAATATTTTTTTCTTGAAAAATAGCATGTGTAGTTACATTATCAATCAAGCAAGTGTTTCAACAATTCATCATGAATCTATCAATATATCAAAATAGATATATTTAAAAAAAATTGAATTTAAGTTCAAAATGATAACGTAATGAATACTTGTGAAATTAACGATGCATAATAAAGTTCAAAATATTTTGCGAAAGTAAAAAACATATTTCAAACTAAATATCTAAAATAAAAGGAAATACTAGAAAAAAAAACTAATGTATTTCTTCCATCGCACCACCCCCAATCAAATGGTCAATATTTTCATTTGGATTAGCAAAGAAATTGGAGATATCCAAATGGGTCACATGAATTGAACCATCATAGTCAGCAAAATTTGTTTCCACTTTTCCCTTCCCCTTGATTGAATTTTGATAGAGATCCATGAGGTATTTTTCTGTACGACAGGTAAGTGTCCAATGCCCTTCATTCCACATTTAAAGCAACTTTCTTCGTGTACCTTTTTGGATATGCTACTTTCGTTTGTTTTGTGCCTTTTGAAATTGTTGCCTTATTGTTGATAACTTTGTTGATTATTTCGTCCATAGTTTATTCCGCATGCACGTCCACGTCCACGTCCACGTCTTGATTTTGCATTTGCTTCAGGCAATACAGTACCATTTGTTTCAGACAGTGGTACAGAACCAGTTGGACGTAACTCATGATTTTTCATCAACAGTTCGTTATTATGTTCAACAACAAGCAGGCAAGATATAAGTTCTGTGTATTTTTTGAAACCACACTCGCGATATTGCTGCTACAGGAACACATTCGAGGCGTGAAAAGTGGAAAAAGTTTTCTCCAACATGTTTTCATCGGTAGTTTTTTCTCCACATAATGTCAATTTTGAACATATTCGGAACAATTTAGAATTTTACTCATTAACAGTTTTGAAGTCTTGCAAACGAAGGTGCATCCACTCATAGCGAGTTTTGGGAAGGACTATAGTCCTTTGATGATCAAATCTTTCAATTAATTTTTTCCAAAGAACGTGTGGATTTTTCTCAATGAGATATTCAATTTTTAGTCCATCGTGAAGATGATGACGAAGGAATATGAGTGCTTTTGCATGATCCTGTAAGGATTATTTGTTTCATTCTTTTATTGTCTCTCCCAAACCTTTTGAGACAAGATGAATATCAAAGTCAAGTACCCATGATAGATAGTTTTTGCTAGAGATGTCAAGTGTAGCAAATTCAAGTTTTGTGATGTTTGCTATTTGATTAACTACATAGTAAAGTAAAACGAAAATATAATTATTTTCAAAGAATATGATTAGGCATCACATAATAGTTAATGAAGATATAAGTTGCGTGTTTTCTTTCAGGGATAAACATTAATTTAAAATAATATGTTCTTTGAAACACGTTCTACTTCAGGAACACATATTTTACTATTACCTTTTTCAAGAGCATTGTATCAATATTCTTCTGACATATTGAAAAATATAATTTATGCTCTTCAGGAGCAAGTAATATTGTTCAAGAATATTAATTATAATATTCTGTTACTTCAGGAGTATCAACAAACTATATATAATAAATAGATTTTAAATTAATATGCTTTTAGAATATTAACTATAATGTTGTGCTACTTTAGGAGCAACAACATGATGAATTATTAAGTTAAAGTTTATATAAGAACATCTAAAATATTTAATTACCATATAGACATGGTTTGAATTTACATACAAGAGTTAATCACAAAAAAATGTATAAGTAAAGAAAAAAAATCTTCCAAGCATGCATGTGAAAAGAATATTTAATTATCATACAAACAGGACATGATGTAAAAATTAATTATCAAATAGATAATATATGAATTTATATTTTAAAATTGATTACCAAACATGTATTAGGAAAAAGAATCTCTATACATAGAAGTTAGCAAAATTGGTTGAATCGCTAAATCTTTTACCAACATGCAAAAGATACTATTTCACATATATACAAATTAAAGATAAAACTAATATGTAACAAATTCAAAAGACAGAATTAGTACTGAATAATATGTGGAAAAATTGATCATGTATGAATAAAAAAATGTGAATTAATATGTATTCAGATTACACATACAAACGTGAATTAGAATTAATATGCATGCCGATGAAAAGTAAAGAAGAAAAAGAAGCAACCTCGTTATAATGCATATGTATATTGAAATAGTTCACATGCTACCAAATTAATTTTAGTACACGTGATAAATATTCATGCCTATAAAAATTATTACCTTCACTAAACTTTGAAAAATTAAGCTATCGTGCTGATAACGTGTTATAAAAGTGAAGAAAAGAGAAGAGAACAGAGAGAAGTCAATAGACTTGTGTGTGTTTTGTTATTAACCAAAGCCCCGTATTTATAGGGCAGAATCATTGATACAACAGTAATTATTTCTAGGGCTGTAGGGGTATAATTGTCATTCACCTATAAACCCAAATAAACTTTCCTTTTACAACAAAGATATGCTTTTGACTTCAATTATAAAATGCATTTTCATTGTGGGTTTGGGGAGGGGGGGACCTCAAACAAGGTCTTGTTGTTCATCTGATAAAAATATGAATGCTACTTAGGGTATGTTTGACATGACTTTTGGTTTTTCCTGCTATAGAAGAGTTTTCATGAGAAAGTGACCTTAACTTTTTTTGGAACTTATTTTCTGAAAGAATTTTCTATTCTAAAAGTGCTTATAAGGGAAGTTATATTTAACCATTTCCGTCTAAAAAATCTATTAACTAGAAGAAGCATTTTCATAAAATTAGTCAAACGAGTCTAAAAGCAATTGTTAGATTTCAAAAACTCGTTTTGACTTCTCAAAATTCATGCAAAACAAACCTTTATTTGTATTAGGTAATGATTCTCCTTCCAATATATGGATAACTAAATATTCAGATTCCCCCGCCATTTTTTGAATTTTGTTTCATATAATTCATAAACTCTTATCTTTTTAACATGGTTCACCATCCAACTCGATATAAATTTGGTATATGAGCTTTAATGTTATCATGGTTGAAAATCCTTCATTTATCTCAAAATATTGAAGAACATCTATCTCCCAAAAATATTCTAATTGAAGAGCTAAGGTTGACATTCGAAACATTATTAGCCTCTTCAAAACGACGTTTTGAAACCATGATATTGGTGTTTTTGCAAAAGAATATGATGATGGAAATTCTTTCCATTCATGTTTCAACAAGGTTAGATCAATTTTATTATTGGCTTCACAACCTAGAAAGAGCAAGAGCATGAAGATTGCATCCTCGAGGATTAAAATAGTCATCGAGGACTAACATATCTCGAGGACCTCTTGCAGAAAAGTGGGGCGGAACATGTAGGCACTCCTCGAGGAATAGTCCTCGGGGTATGTAATATTGGTACTATCACTGGCCCCCATGCACCCCTCATAGAGCGCGAGCTCTGGGATTGGGTGCACATTATTTACAAATACCTCACCATAGGTTGCGTCGTCGAGAAATATGGGCTGACGATAAAGGTCGGTATTGATATGACCGTTGTAGACAGTTCGCTTGGATGAGTGACACGTGTCTCCATGGACGGTCAGAGATGGCGACCTTTGGCCTCCTGTCTTTTTCACCTATAAATACTGTTGTTCACCCCCTCATTTTTCACTTTTACCCAATGTAAATCCAAACTCTGCGAGATCGGGCTTGAGCCAAATACTTTGGAACTTTTCAAGTCGTCGAGTAACTCCAGGTAAGGCTCAAGACTCTAAGTTATTCCATGAGTTAGGACTTAAGTTCTTTGAGTAATGTCGAGTTGTGAGGGTTGTGATCTATCTAGTAGCTCGAGTAGTAGCGAGGATGTAGGTACTTCGATAATACCAACGGCTATTCCCCTAGAGGCTACACCCGAGGCTTAGGTTAATATGATCTTCGATTATCCCGACGAGCCTGTAAGTTAAAAGAGCATTTAGCTATTGCTGCGGCTAGGGGATATGGCCTCATGCCTATTTGTGACGTTAGATCCCCTAGCCCCGAGGATAGAATTGTTCGATCTCGACGAGGGGAGTTTGTCATTTTTAGGGAGACCCTTAAGGCCGGCTTTAGGTGGCCTCTTTACCCTTTTTTATCGCTTTACTTGTCGAGCACTCCATGTGCCTGAGGCAATTAGTGCCCAATACCTGAAGAATGCTCGTATATTTCTTTATAGCTTGTAGGTACTTAGATATTGAGCCCAATGTTGACCTTTGCAAACTGATATTTGAGCTTAAGAAACATCCTTGGTATACCTGTTTTGTTTATCTCTCGATGATAGGAGGGTTTAAGGTCCCGAAGATGGCGAGTTCTCTAAAGGGATGGAAGGAGGAGTTGTTTTATTTTATTGCTCAAGAACCCGACCTTTCTTTCTGGCCTGATTAGGGGATTCCCAAAGTCGAGAAGTCCTGTGAGGACCAGGTGTATCCAGATGTATTGGAAGATCATAGAAGGATGCTGGTGGGGCTCAACCCCCTTTTCTCGATGATGAAGGAGATTGGGGAAGAGGTTATAGACTTGGCAGATATCTTTTTTTTGGAAAACAGTTTGATCTTATGCTCGTTCTAAAGTGTTTGTGTTTTCTATTCTTGCAGGTATGTCGTTTGACCTCGAGCTCTCCGTAATTTTGTTAACACAAGGTCTGATGCCCGTCCACAGGGCCAGCTTCCAACGAAGAAGAAGAGTAAGAAGAGGCCTCGAGGCCCACTTAAGCAAAGCATGAGGAGGCCTGGCGAAACTTCTTGAGCACAGCCTCAACCCTTAAGCCCCGTGCATCCGAGTCAAAGATCTCCTACTCCTCGAGTCGTTACTCCTCGACCTCCTTCCGAGGTAGTTGATCTCAAGGATGACACTGTTCCTTTGGTGAATTCCCTTATCGAGGACTTCGAACGATGCCACCTTGTTCCCGGTCTTGTTTCCAAATACAAGGATGAGGTAAAGCTCGAGGGACGGGATGAAGGTTCTCGAGCTCCTCACTTTGAAGGTAATCCTCGAACATTTGACTTAAGCTTTCAACTTCTTCCTCGAGATTAATACTATTTCATTTCTCTTTAAGACGTTGTGTATAGCTCGAGGACTCTCTCTTCAGGGAATCGAGGAGGCCAAGAGAGCGGCTGGGGTAGAGACCTTAATGGCTTCTAAGGACAGGAAGATCCTTGAGCTTGAGGCTTTGTTGAAAGAGCGTGATGACGCAAAGAGAGAGGTTGCGAAGGCCCGGGACGACCTTAGTGCTGCAAAGGACGAGGCTGAGAATGCGAGGCTCGAACTTCTGCAAAAGACAAAAGAGTTCGAGGGCAAGCTCGCGGAGGTTAAGGAGAAGGTCTGGGAGGAGTTCAAAACCTCCGAGGACTGTGACAAGATTAAGGGCGAGTATGTGTCGGAGGCATACTTCCACGCTCCAAAGGAGGCCCGGGCCTTCCTCCGTGCGAAATTACCCAACGTCACCCTAGATGACCTGCCTTCTATCGCCAATACTCTAGAGCTCTCGGGTTCGGATGATGGAGAAGCAGGTGGGGACGACGACAATGAAGGCCTTGATGACGATGTGCAGATTGACATCCACAACCTCAACCCTCCCCTTGGTCATATAGGATAGTGTCCCCACTCCAGTCTCTTATTAGTAATTTTGGACAAGTTTTTTGCTTGACGATTGTAAAACATTTTTTTGCTAGTGAATGAACATCTCCTTAGTGTATTGTCAATTTCGTCATACAGATCTCGAGCACTTGACATACTCGAGGCCACACACATCTCGAGCACACTAACTTTATAAAAGATGTAATTTCGCATGTGATGTCCTCGGGTTATTATTCTCGAGCATCTAGTTTTGAGGCATTGCCTTTCCTATAATCTTGAGCATAAAAAATATTTAACTCTTAGATAATATCTCGAAAGTGATATCCTCAATATAACATCATCGAGCAATATTTTTAGTGTAAGAGTAGCCTAGTATAATGATTGAGGACTCTTGTTCGTATCCGTCTCAAGGACTATTCAGGTTCGGGAACTATACTGGTGTTCTCTTTGTTGAGCTCTTAGGGGACATATACCAAACGCCGCGAGGAATGGGACACCTGCAGTCACCATTAACCTGAGAAATGGTACCACTCCTCAAGGACATTCGTTATTGTACGTCTCGAGCACAATACTCGTGTGTTTCTTTTTGAAGATTTGGGAGAGCCATGCGGCTGACCATATCCCAGGGGCATGCAAGGTCGTGTTGCGTGCGATATCTTGACGACATGGAGTAAGATCATGTCACGAGGACTCCAGTGCTCGAGGACATAGAGTCAAACTGTATCTCGAGGACACGGGTTCAAATGATATCTCGAGGACACTTAGTTGGACCATATCTCGAGGACTTTCAGTGAAAAACTCTCGAGGACATGGATTCAGATCATATCTCGAGGACACCGAGGATGTTAACTCTCGAGCCTTGTCAACCGAAGTCGTTTATAGATCTAGGTGTTGATGTGTTCGGGCATATCGCATTGCTTGGGATTTTTTCTTGGTGGTATTTTATGAATCAAGGCTTCTTATGGACAGGGCAAGGCTTTTTGTGCATGTACGGGGCAAGGCTTTGTGTGTTTGCGTTGGGCAAGACTTTTAGTGCTTGTATGGGGCAAGGCTTTGTGTGCTTGCTCGGGGGAAGGCTTTTTGTCGCTTGCTCGGGGGCAAGGCTTTTAGTGCTTGCGTGAGGCAAGACTTTTAGGTGCTTGCTCGGGGCAAGGCTTTTTGTTACTTGCTCGAGGGCAAGGCTTTGTGTGCTTGCGCGGGGCAAGGCTTTTTGTTGCTTGCTCGGGGACAAGGCTCTTAGTACTTGTGCGGGGCAAGGCTTTGCGTACTTGCACGGGACAAGGTTTTTTGTCGTAGTGTGATAAATCATCGAATTTAACTTTAGCTATAATATACTCTATAAATGAACTTGGCACGCAGGCTTGAAAAAAAAATAGTCTTGGCACACAGGCCAGACAAATGATAAAAAATTGATTTGGCACGCAGGCCTTATTAATGATAAAAATTGACTTGGCACGTAGGCCTTATTAATGATAAAAAATTGACTTGGTACGCAGGTCTTATTTCTGAAACATGGTAGAGTGAGTTACTTGTAATATACCTTTAAGTTTTCGACGTTCCATGGTCTTGAGAGTGGTCTTCCCGAAGTATCCTTCAAACTGTATGCACCTCCTGGGAGTTGTCTTATGACTTCAAACCCAAACTGGACCGAATTTTCCCGGAGCATGACCAGTGGCTTCGGCCCTTCTTAACACCAAATCTCCAGCTCTGAATCTTCGTGGCCTTACCTTTCTATTGAAATACTTTGATGTTCTATCTTGGTAAGAGGCCATTCTTAAGGCTGCCTGATCGCGAACTTTCTCTAAGAGGTTGAGATGTTTAGTGGTGTGCACTACTTCTTCGAGATCAAGTCTTCTTTTACTGGGTAACCTTATTTCAATGGGAATGGTAGCTTCGATTCTGAAAGCTAACATGAAGGGGGTCTCCCCAGTGGCAGTCCTGTGGGATGTTCTGTAAGTCCAAAGTATGGAGGGCAACTCGTCGGACCAGGCACCTCTTGCATCTCCAATCCTTGTTCGGAGGTCTTGCAATATAATCCGATTGGTGACCTCGGCTAGACCATTACTTTGGGGATGAGAAACTGATGTCAGACGGTGGTCAATCCCTAGGCTGGAGCAGAAATCCTTGAATTGTGCATTGTTGAACTGCTGGCCATTATTAGTTATGAGGACCTTCGATATCCCGAACCTGCATATGATGGATCTCCAAACGAAAGTTTTTATCTTTGGTTCTGAGATCGTTGCCAAGGGCTGGGCTTCAACCCACTTGGTGAAGTACTCAGCTGCTACAACTACAAACTTCAATTGTCCCCTAGTTATCGAAAACGGACCGAGGATGTCGATCTCCCATTGCTCAAATGGGGCCAAGTAACTGATGCTGGTAAGGTCTTCTGTGGGAGAACGGATAACATTGCCAAACCTCTAGCACTTGTTACACTTCCTCACATATTCTACAGCATTCTTCTTCATGGTAGGCCAGTAATACACGTACCTTATGAGTTTAAACGCTAATGCCCGAGCTCCTTGAAGGTTCCCGCATACTCCTTCATGAACTTCCTCTAGGACTTGAGAGGATTCCGAAGGCTTAAGGCACCTAACGTACGGAAGTGTGAGGCTTCTATGAAATAAGACCCCATTAATAATGCAATACCTTGGAGCTTTTGGCCGGACGTTCCTTGCAGCCTGACGATCGTCTGGAAGATTGCTATTTGTTATGAAATCCACAATTGGGCCATCCATGATGGCTCATGATCAATGTCCATGACCCCAACGGTTAGATTGATGCTAGGCTTGGTCACAAATCTGACATGTACTGTCCTGTCAAGTCCATCTACTCCCATGAACACCACTCTCGATAAGGCATTTGCCTTGCAGTTGTCAGCCCGGGCAATCTTCACAATTTCATACCTCTTCAATTTTCGTCAGAGATCATGAACTTATAAGCAGTATAAGCTCATTTTTTCGTCTTTCTTCTCGAATGTACCGTCAATTTGGCCAACCACCAATTGGGAATCACTAAAAATTTTGATGCTTTCAAGTTCGAGACTAATGGCAAGTTCCAAGGCTATGATAACATCCTCATACTCTGCTTTATTATTGGTTACCTCGAATTCGAACCTAAATGCACACTGAATGTCCATGAGCATGTTCGGGCTCGTGATGATGACCCCGACACCCGAGTCCGAGGAGTTTGATGCTCTATCCACGAAAATTTGCCAAACATCTGTTGTAGTGCTCGAGCTATCATCCGGTCCCCAAGGCCTTGGGGTGAGTTCTGCAATGAAATCCGCTAAGGCTTGGACTTTGATGGATGGATGGGGTTTGAACTCTATGTCAAACTCTCCAAGTTCAATTGCCCACTTCAGTAACCTACCCGAGATGTCTGGCTTTTAAAGGATGTGTTTCAGGGGCTGGTTGGTGAGCACTATAATGGGATGAGACTGAAAATATTGCCAAAACTTTCATGCTACCACTATTAGGGCAAGGGCAAGTTGTTCGGCCAAAGTGTACCTAGTCTCTGCATCAAGTAAAACTTTACTCACGTAGTAAATGGGTTGCTAGGCTTTGTTGACCTCTTTCACCAAGACGCCGCTTACTGCGTTTTGAGACACAGCTAAGTACAATAACAAAGTATCCCCGGGCTCCGGTTTAGTGAGGATAGGAGGAGATGCCAATGTTTGTTTGAGCTCCTGAAAAGCCTTTTCACACTCCTCATTCCATTCAAATGATTGGTTGCCTCTAAAAATTTTAAAGAAAGGAAAGCACCTGTCTGCTGCTCAGGACATGAACCTGTTCAGGAATACTATCCTACCTGTCAATTTTGCACCTCTTTCTTAGTCCTGGGCGATTCCATTGTTGTCAAGGCCAAGATCTTATCGGGGTTTGCTTCTATCCCCCCGTGAGTGATCATGAAGCCCAAAAATTTTCCCGAAGCTACACCGAATACACACTTCTCTGGGTTGAGCTTCATCCGATATATTTGTAGGGTGGTGAACACCTCCTCGAGGTCGGATATGTGTCGTTCTACCTTCTTGCTTTTCACCACCATGTCATCAACATAGGCCTCAATGTTCTTCCCTATCAAATCAGCAAAGACTTTGCTGATGAGCCTCTGATATATTGCTCCGGCATTTTTCAACCCAAACAGCATCACCCTATAGCAGTATATGGCTAAATCAGCCATGAATGAAGTCTTTTCTTGGTCTTCCTCGGCTATGAGGATTTGATGATACCCTAAGAATGCATCTAAGAAGATGTACAACTTATGTCCGGATGTGCTATCCACAAGATTGTCTATCCTGGGGAGCGGGTAACTGTCTTTAGGGCAAGCCTTATTGAGATCTGTAAAGTCGATGCAGACTTTCCACTTACCACTGGCCTTCTTCACAAGAACAACATTAGCGAGCCAATCGGGGTATTGGACTTCCCTTACTCTCACCAGTTTGCCGACCTCTTCCTGAATGACCACACGTCTTTCTGGCGCAAACTGCCTTTTCCTTTGCTTAACAGGTTTGGCCCCTGGGCTTATATTGAGTCTATGGACCGCCACTTCAGGGCCTATCCCTGGCATGTCCTCAACCTTCCATGCAAAAACATCGATGTTGCGGAACAGACAATTGATGACTTCTTCTCGGAGGCTGGCCTTGAGATCCCGACCAATAGTTATAGTTTTTCCATGCTCGAGCTCGACCACTTCCAATTCCTCAACCGGGGCAAGTCTACCCCTTGGCTCGAGCTCGAGGTCTGAAAGTTGCATGACATCTATACTCATTCCTCGGATGCTAGTAACATAGCACTATCTGGTAGCTGTTTAGTCTCCTCGAACTACTCCGATGCCATAGCCTATTGGGAACTTCATGGCCAGGTGGAAAGTTGATACAATGGCTTGGATCTTGTTCAGTAGGGGTCTTCCTAGAATGATGTTGTAAGCCATAGGAGTGTTAACCACTTGGAATGGTGTGATTTTCGTCGCTTGTGCATTGTCAGCACCCAAATTAATCGGGAGCTCGACAATTCCTTTTGGGATAATGACTCCACAACCAAATCCCTGTAGAGGAGTTTTGACTGCTTTGAGCTGCTTGAGAGAGATCCCCATTTTAGCGAGGGTCTACTGCGATAGTATATTTGCTGCACTCCCATTATCAACCAGAATCCTCTTTACTTAAAAGTTAGCCACAATTGCAGAGACGACCAAGGCATCGTTATGAGGATATGATACTCCTTCTAGATCTCTTGCTCCAAAAGTAATATCTTTGAGTTTATCATGGGATTCCTTTGAGGTATGAGCATGTTGGCTGGCATATTGCTTTCGCCCACTACTTGTGTCTTCTCCAGATACTATGCCTCCAATGATAATATTAATGGTCCCGGCAGTAGGTGGAGCACTGCTTCCGGCTCCAGGATCTTTCCGATTGTCACGGTCATTCCTCGAGCATTTATCATGACTAATATAATTTCTTAACAGCCATCTTTTAATGAGGGCTTCAATTTCCCGTTGCAAGGCTTGACAACCCTCAATGGTATGCCCATGATCTCGGTGAAATTCACAGTACTTGTTCCTATCTCTTGTGTCCAGGGGCGACTTCATTCTTGAAGGCCACCTCAACTCTTTCATATCTTTGATCTCCATTAAGATATTTGCCTTGGAGGTGTTCAATTGGGTGAGAGGCCCTGGTGGCCCTTCATTCGTGCGCTTTTCCTGAGGATGCTCTTGTTGGGAAATAGGATCATGTTGCTTCTTGCTCTTGGCCTTTTCATGGGAAGGACCCATCGTTTTCTCCATATTAATGTATTTTTCAGCTCGGGTGAGGAGCTCGATCACTGTTTGTGGCGGGGTCTTTGATAAGGATACCTTGAAGGCTTCACGCCTTATGGCATATATGAGAGCAGAGACACCCGTAGTAATGTGAAGGTCAGGTATTTGAAATCTTTCCTTGTTGAACCTCGTCAAAATCCTCACAGGGTTTCATTTGGTCCCTGGCGAAGTTGCATGAGAGAGGCCGCAGTCTTTCTGATTCGCTTGCTACTTGCAAAGAAGGCTGAGAAATTATCAGCCAAATCTGAGAAAGAGGCTATGGAGTTGGGCTCCAATGTTGAGAACCAATCCCTAGCAGCATTAGTCAGCGTTTGCGAGAAGGCCTTGCACATAACTTGATCTGGCGCAACTTGCAGATTCATGACATCGGTGTATACATTGAGATGATTGACGGGTGCGAATTTCTTTAACTCAACAGTTGCGTTAGCGTGGCAACCTGCTGACGTAGCTCTTCGAAGGCTTCAATTGTGACAACTACTTGTTGGGGTACGGGCACTCCTGATGACTCTTTTTGAGGAGCCGGTTGATCTTCAGTAGGATGAGAGACAGGAGCGGATGAGCTTGCGAGAGGAAGACCTAATCGCGTGTTAACCATGGCTTTTGGTAGCATTTCCCACATACGGCGCCAATGATGCTACCAAAAATCGTACCTATTGATTTTTCGTGCTTGAGGAGCTTGAATGAGCACGATCGTAGTCTTCCGGTACTTGAAACAAAGGCAACGAGGTATGTTTTCGTCACCCCTCCGATGCTTAAGTCAAAAAGGGAATTATGTGCGTGAGGCTATAAACTGAGAATAATGAGAACGTACCTGAATAATGTCCAAGGTTGGTATTTATAGAGGTAGGTAGTGTACTCCTAGTAGGATTGTGCCAATTGGATGTATTTATCCAATGGAGTCCTGTTTGGGAAGAATGTCTTATTCGTAATAGAATTCTGTGATTGGTGGTGTTAGAGTTGATAAAGAGTCCTTGGGGGTTTAGGTGTCTGTTCGTTAGCCATATACATATATCTCGAGGACTTCTTAATGAATACTGACCCGAGGACATACTCTCAAGGAAGTAAGAGGTGAGTTCCATGGTCGTATGAGCAAGTCCTCGAGGATTAAAATAGTCGTCGAGGACTAACATATCTCGAGGACCTCTTTGCAGAAAAGTGGGGCAGAACACGTAGGCAGTCCTCGAGGAATAGTCCTTGGGGTATGTAATATTGGTACTATCATCCAGTATCCACCACCATTGATTCTAAAGTAAAATTTCATATTATTATTTTAGTGATCGGTCATGTCACTCAACAAAATAATGCAAGACTGAGAACGAGCCCAAAATCAGTGATCGGTCACTTTACTCAACAAATTAATGGAGGATGAGAACGAGCCTAAAAATGCATTCTTTTTAGAATATTGTATCAAAATTCAGTTGATCGAATCTGTTGCCTTTGTGTCTTCGGTAAGCTCCATGCCCTCTTTCTTCCTCATTCTTTTTTTGCACTTGTTATTGTCGTGCTCGTTGTATATGCCTTTTTTATGGATGCTAGTCTATGTAAACTAGAGAGAGCAACCGGTCATCGCATTTATCATGGCTTAGAGGAAATCGAAAAGCTTGAATGGAAACAGCGCTAGCAAGAAAAACTATCTTTTGGAGAAGAGAGGTACCATTCGATGGTGAGAAAGATGAAGTCATGGCCCAATTAGAGTCAAAGTTAGAGATGCAAATATGGATGGTAACAGGGTAGGGATTTTCCGATTTTCGTGGGTACCCCATCCAATGGAAGAACAACCTCCCTTATTAGAATCAAATGTAGAGGTGTAAATAGGGATGTCAACGGGACAAAGAATCCTTGATCTTTGAGGGCACTCCACCCAAAAGGGGCGAGGATTCCTCTATTAGATGGGAAGACAACCTGCCTAATTAGAGGAGTAACTAGGATGCCAATGGGGTGGGGATTCTCCAATTAGACAGGGAGACAACCTATCCAATTAGAGTCAAATATAGATGTGCAAATGGACATTGCTACGCGTGCATCAAATTTTACATAAAGAGTTATATAATGTCACATGTCACTTTTGTCAGTTTAAAACACTGTCGACTTTTTTATTCAATCTTTTCCATACACAACATTTTATGTCATCCCTTATGTATCATTTTTATGTACAAGTAACCTAATAAGGTGCGGATGTTGCTACGTGTACATTAAGTTTTACATAAGGAGTTATATAATGCTATATGTCACTCTATCATTTGTCAATTTAAAGCATAATCAAATTTTTTATTCAATCTTTTTCATACCTATCATTTTATGTCATCCCTTATGTACCATTTTTATGTACAAGTAGCCTAATAAGTTGTGGACATTGCTACATGTACATCAAGTATTACATAAGGAGTTACATAATGACACATGTCACTCTATCATTTGTCAGTTTAAAGTACAGTCAACTTTTTTATTCAATCTTTTCCACGCATCATTTTATGTCATCCCTTATGTACCATTTTTATGTATAAGTAGCCTAATAAGGTGCGAACATTAGGATGTCAAACGGGCCGAACGGCTCGTCGACTCGGCTGCTCAGATTTGACGAGTCCGAGCACGAGCAAAGCACAGGTTGGATCCAATGAGCCAGCAAGGCTTGACTCGTCGAGCTCGTGAGCAGTTTGTGGGCTCAACTTGTTGGCTCGTGAAAAATGTGAAGAAAAAATTTGAAAATTTTCCAAAAAAAATTCAAGCTCGTGGGTTTAAGGGCTTGCCACCTCTATGCAAATAGGATATCATAAAAAATAAAAATATGATAATAAGCTAAAAATCAAAAAGGGAAGACCACATAACTCATAGTTTTAAAGATCACATTTCATAAATAACAAACTTAATCAAACATTTCAAAAATCAGGTGGTAAATAAATTTATTAAATATTAAATTATAATAGAATATCCATTAATTATTTCCACCCATGCCATCCACCTCATCCTAGCACCCCATTACACCACATTTCCTCCACCCCTCCACTAGAGATGGCTATCATCTTCGGCGACCACTCCAACAACGACAACGGCTCCGGCGATCACTCTGGTGGCCGCTCCGACAACTATTCGGGCGATCACCCAGGCAAACTGCTCCAACGACCACTCCAACAAATTGCTCCAATGACCACTCCGGAGCCTACTCTAAGCACTGCTCCGGCTCGCCAATAGAAAAATCTCCAAAATTTGAAAACAATCTCTCTCTATACCCCACTGTTGAAAAATCTCCAAAAAACTGTAATGGTCGTAATGGTGCGTTGTAAGTAATCAGATTTGCACCTGTGACATCTGTGACCATACCTGTGTCATATGTGACTATTTGTGACTAATTGTGATCAAATTTGTATTTAGTGTGACTATCTGTGACTATGCCAATCTCTAGTCACAATTGGTCACAATTAATACAAAATTAGTTACAAACAGTCATAACAAACACATACTTGGTCGTATAGGGTCACCACAAACAAATCTGCATACACCGCATACATGTGATTAACTGTGACCAATTTTGCCTTCAGTGTGACTAATTGTGCTCAAAATTATATTCATAATGACTGTCTATGACCGGATCAATATCAAGTCACAACCTACCATCACCACTAAAGAACAGCAGATCAGAAAATCATCGCACCCCCAACACCACCATGAGCACCACTGCATCTATACCACTGTCTCCCACAATTACCACCACCACAACACCCGAAAAATCGCCACAGCACCACTGCACAAAGCACTCATAGCACACCACCACCTCCTCTATCTCCAGCTACACCATATCACCACTGACACGACACCACCAAAAAAATCCATAAACCTGTTGTCGCCACCACAGCACACTACCACGGCCAGCACCTCAGAAACCATAACAAAAAAATGCAGCAAAATCACCACAAAAACCACAGAAAATCACCGTAAAATCACCAAAGAAACTTTTGCTGGGGATTGCAACACCGCAAGAACCTCCACAGCGACGGATCGGAGGAAATTTCAGATCCACTAAGCCCATAGACGTTGAGTAAGTGTGACGGTTGGGGATGAATGGCTGAGTGGGTATAGCGAGCACCACTGAGCCCTTGGACATTGCTTCGCCACGCGTGGTGGACATGGCCAGCGGTAATGTCATGCCAGAGGTGCATCAAATGGGTCCAAAATTAGAGGAGCATCGAACGCCTCACAGTGAATTGTGTATCATCATAGCGACTTTCACATCGCCGTCGAGTTGGGTGGCTACCCGAGTGGAGTGGTGATAGATATACAAAATGTGTATATATATATAGAGAGNGCCATAGAGAGAGAGAGAGAGATGTAGTGTCAGTGTGGGTAAATGTTAAGGATTGGATGGGTTGAATCATTGGTGTAATATTAGTTTAATATAATATTAAGCTAATAATGTGTGATTAACACCTGCTGAAAGTTAAACTTAATCCCCTTCTCTTTGAAAATTGATCTTTAATTCCAAGTTTGCACGTAATTTTTCCCCTCAAAAATGACCCATAAAAACGTGAAGTCCATTATATATATTATAATGGTAAGTTGGGCCACCACTCCATTATATAGACTTCTCCTTCAATACACTTAAAAGATTCCGAACTAAGGTCCTTCTCATGCCTTTATTAGTCGAAGCGTCGGGACTCTATTAAGGGTTTCATTTTTTCCCACGTTGAAAATCTATCACTCTAATCAGAAATGAATGTCTATAAATAATTAATGTAGTTTTGTACCATTATTCTTTTCAAGAATTTTCTAATAATTTATAATAAAATCTAATAATATTTAGTTTAATTAATATTTAAATAAATGGGACAATTATAAAATTACCTTTTTCTCCATTGCTCAGTGAACAGAAGCGCAAATCTTGTAGAGGGCAAAATAGTAAGCCATGATAACACAAGTATGAACTACAATTGACAAAGTGTTACAGAGTACATTTTACTGAAATGAATGAACTATATAACATGTAGAAATATAAATAAATTACATCAACAACATATAGTAACCAAGCCACCTTTTCAGAACTTGGCGAGTATCGGTTTCATTTACGATGAGCTTCAGCATCAGACACCACCCTCGGCAACTTGTTTTTCATCTTCTGCTGATATTTTGCGAATGAATACCAGATGCCACCGGCAGTGTTGATTACCAGTCCAGTAACATTCAAAGCGTGTACTTGCACTCCTCCCAGTAACACAAAGCCGAGGGTCTGACCAGAACCAAACAATGAGCAGTTAAATGAATTATCGACAATTTACACAAGAAAATATCATTAAGAAACAGAGCTTGACACATACTGTGGAGCCGACTCCCTTTAGGACGCCAACAATGGTAGTTGTTAAAGCAGAGTTGACAACGGTACACAAAAACATGGTGTAGTTTAGAATTATACCCATCACCAGTGAAAGAATCAGAATAACCAAAAATAATAGTGAAGTACTCTGTCCATCAAAAACATATTATTATCTCTCCGTTAGAAACATTAAAATAGATTAGTTAAAACAGTAAAATTCAATATCAGCAATTAAATAAATATATAATAAAGTTGGAATCTCAAAATTGAAAATAAATGAAAGGTACCGAACAAGGGTTATATAACTCTCCAAAAATCAACAATCCAAATAAAATGTTACAAGTTATGAGAAAAACGTTTATGGTGTGTAAACAATTAGGACAGGGAGCAAATACCCCGTGCTTTCTTATAGATATTCAAACCTCTACGATGTTATATTTCAAGGAACCCAGGTGCACCAGAAATCTTGTTACTTGTCCCATCCAAGGGACAAGAACCCAATTAAAAGGTTGTGAACCAAAACCATTCTGCATTAAATATTGTGCTTAAGATCAACCATAAACACCTTGTCTGATCAATCATGTTTGCATATGAAAAGGAAGTAAACTTATGTGCATATGCAAACATAAAAAGAAAGTAAAATATATGGAGGATATATATTAAGGATAGAGTAAGAACATGTAGTAGTACATGCAGAAAGTAGTGTGTGTAAAATGCTGCAGAAGTAGAAGGTAGACATTGGTATTTTACAACCCCTTGTAATGTGTAGCAATTTAGTACTTTCACTATCCTATTATCTTCGCAACTTGTCCATGAACTCCATTAATATCTATAGTAACGATCTCAATCAACAATATGGTGTAAAATATTCATCCCTAAATTTTATATGATTTCAATATCTAAATGTAACAAAATTCCTCAATCACTTTAATATTTAAAAATAAAATAAAAATCCATAATGGAGGGATCATTGAGCATCATGAACGTTCTACACTGATCCTCTGCTAGTGCAACAATGATCTCTACATTGCGGTTACAATTGGTCTCCTACTTGAACTATAACTGGATAAGAAATTTTAAGAACTATAGTTCATACAAAAAGAACTCGAGAGTTGATATTAGCCTTAATAATTCGCATGTTCTAACGTTGGTTGGTCCTAGAGTGTCATTACTCATTATTGGAGAAAACATGGTTATTATGGTACATGTTAGTGGAGATGATGGAGTCGTTTAAATATTATTATGAATATTATTGAAAATTATGGAGATTATCTCTGTATACACTACATACATCATTTTTCTACTACATCTTTAGTATACACAGACATAATAATTTCTAATATTCTCTAATATATTCATTGAGAATATCCTTAATCAAATATAGGAGTTTATATGGTGGAGTTTTGAGCTCAACCGATTTACACAATGTTCAATTTGATTTAGCATGCTGGAAGCAATACTCCTGCTACTTTCCCAAAGGCACGAATCTTATTAAAAAGAGCGACATGCCCGCTCATTAGTTTAATTGTTTATGTATTTGCTTGCCAATGTTACTTTATTATTTTACTATTTAATTGAAATTTTTCAACCATTGGTCAGGATAGACCAACACAATGGATCAATTTTTCTCTCTTCTTAATATTGTGAAGTAAAACTTATCAAGTCCAACAATCCCCAACAACGTCAACGAGTAACAACCTTCATCTCCTAAACAGTCTTGGTAACCTAGTTACAGATCATGGACAATTGTTCACAGCAATGAAGCAACACATTAGCATTAAGACAGCCCTTTGTTAACTTCTAAACTTCAATCGGTATTACTGCACATCCCGCTCCAATTTTCCATGATCATGGCCATACTAAAATGATCTCACAATCCCCAACCATTCTCTTTCTGCTTCTGATAGTTTTCTGTCTAAATTTCTAGGAAACCTAGTTACAGTTTAAGGAGTTGTTTACATCAATGTGATTAAATCTATTTATGGGGTCAATCAATTTGATATACTCATATTCTCGTTTTAATTTCCAAATCGTTTTATCATCACCATCAGTAGTCCTGCTTCCACGCATGGTTGTTCCAATTTTGCATTCTATAATTTCAGATTCTCTTGAAAGAAAATTAAATACTGTAATAGTTCTCTCTGCCTTTCTCGATCATTAACACTACTGCTCTATCACATAAAGCTCAATAATTTAACATCAGGTCACCTATCAAGTATGATATAGTTCCTTCATTGTTTATCTTCTTCTTCCCAATAACCGCAAATGATACCTAAATGCACTAAAATATGGATAAAGATCCTAACCTTTGCAAACAGAATCGACAGAGAATCCGGAAACTCTCCTGTGGCTATGATGAGGAATAGAAGAAACGGTACAGACAAAATGCTGTTATAGAACATGATTTCAACTGATGAAAGCCCATCCTCTGCACCCGACCTCTCCACTAAGACAAGGTACATGGTCTGCAAATGGAAATTTAGAAGTTAAGCATGCAAATATCCATCTAATGCAAAAGGGCACAACATATATAATGATCAGTATGGAAAATCTTGAATAACAAAAACTGCAGAGAAAGAAAGACCAAAACGCTACCTGGAAAAAAACAGAAGTAAAGGCCATGCCATATCCAAAAAGATCAAAGGAAAAATCTCCAAGTGCTGCTATAATAACTCCTGCAGCAGTTAGGATCACTGAAAGAGTCACCTGAAAATAAGAGTTATGTAAGGAATGTAAAGAAAGCTTACTGCAAAATAAGTAGATGGGATTTTCAGGTAAAGAATAATTATGATATAACGAAAAAAGTTAAAAAAGGCTATATACCTGAATTGTAGGAATCCCCTTCCCCGAAAAGTATCCTGCTACTAGTACAGCAAGCGGCGTAAGCCTTTTGATGGCTATGTACATTGGGATATTTACTCCTTTCAAGCTTGCTAAAGCAAATGCAACATTTGCATTGTAAAATAAGGAAACTAGTATAAGTCTTTTTGCCGTCTCTACATTAAATCCTGTGGCTTTCGTGTATCCCATTACTCTAGCAAAGTGTATAAGCAAAGTTGTCGCCAATTGCTGATAACATATCAAAAATAGCAACAAAAGCTTTGTAAGTGAAAAGATCACAGAACTTGTGAGGCATGCAAATGCTTGCTTATGAATACCTGAAGAGTAAGCAGAGTCATTGATTGGGCATACTGCATAAGCACTGCCTTATTGATAAAAACCATTGCCATAGAGGCAATTCCATATGACAACGCTGCGAATAAACTGCATTCCAAGCTTGAATTAAGTGAACCAATGAATGCAATAATCCTCTGAAATGCTTATGCTGAATTACAACTGCATTTGGTGGTATCAAACAGGAGCCTAGGAATGGAATTAGAAACAATTCTGTCCAAACTTAATTTCAGTTTCACAAACTCCGTTTTAAATAGGGATATCAAAAATACCAGTCAAACCCGATACCTGAGTGGACCATGCCTCGAACGGGACAGGAATTATCCGCTTGATCGGGTAATCAAGGAAAGGAATTCTGCCCCGAGGCGGGTACGGGTAACATGGGCCCGGCCCGACCCTACCCCACCCCATTTGATTTTTTTTATATATATAAAGAATTCAATACTTTAAATGGAAAAACTCCACGAAATTTTATTAATTTTAATAAAAAAATAGAAACTAAGATTATTTGAGGAATATGCTAAACAATAAAAACCTTAGTTTATCAAATATATTCGAATAATTTAACTTTTAAAAATAAATAAATTAATTAAAAAATTAATAACTATATTATTGTCTCACTTGAGTGAAGAGGGGAAATAAAATGAATTAAAAAAAAAAAAAAAAAAAGGTACGTAAATGCCCCACCTTAACTTGCCTTTAAATGGGTAACAGGGCGGGTACAGGGCTGGAAAATGCCCAGCGGAACAGCGCCGCCCTGGCCTGAACCCTAGATGGCTAGATTTGAAGGGCACCTAATTCTAAGTGGCCAATGTGGAATCTTAAGCATAGAATTCAGAAGTATGTCTTATCACAAGAAATCAGCACATGCACAAGCGCTGAAAAGTGGTGGTACAGTAATTACATTGAATCAATTTGATGAACAAGAGAAACACATATTTTGAATCCATTATTAGGAAAAATATATTCACAGGGAATACATCTAGGAAAAGGAATAGCAGAATTAAGCATAAGGCAGAAGATCTGATAAACCTCAAGAAACTAACCTCAAGTATGAACCTGTGTCTTTCTTATGGTCCATCATTAAAACGCCCCCAAACCAAGAATTGAGCCTTTCGATAATAACGAGAACTTGAGTTCAATTACAAATTGGATCCAATATCAGTATAGCCCAAAAGCACAAACAAATCCCAGAAATAAAAATATCCTGCAATTGAGAAATGAATTAAAAAGAAAGCTCGAATCAAGATTCTGAAACCCAAATACGATATTGACATAAACGTTAAAGGGTGATCGAGAAGAAAACATTTTTCACCTCGTAATTGATTAAACAACAAAAAATAGAAAGTGGGTTTCTTTTTCTTTTTTTATTTGTATTGGATCACGGAAAAAGAGAGGGTTTTTGAGCGACGAATTGTGTGAAAGTGAAGCGTTAAAGGTGAGGTATACAGTTGGTGTGTGAGAGTATGGAAAATCCGCGATATATGTGGAAGAAAATACATAAAAAAAATAAAAATAAAAATGCATAGCTTTTGCAGTCAAACATGAATAGAAAAAAGAGAAATCGCCTAGTGCCATCAGGTCAAACTGCAAAGCCATCGCCATCAGAGGCGGCCTTGAGGTGCAGTAATTTTATGGACGACGCTGGCTAGGGATGAAACAATTAGCATCTTTAGAGGGGTAAAATAGATTGTGACAAATGGATATGATATCTGAGGTATAACAGTAGAGACCAATGGTGGTGTAAAATGGATAATACTAAAATTGAGAGGTTGAACCATAAAAATATATGTTGGTAGAGATGTAACTCAAGCTAATAGAGATGTAGGGATGTTTAATGAATCAAATTGAGTGCCTAATGTTAAGCTCGACTCAACTCATCTCGACCTACGAACTCACTCTTTAGTGGAACGAGTCAATCCAGAAGCGAGTCACTTGTAGCTTGTCAATTCTTTACTAAAATTGCTTTTTCACTCGATTATGACGAGTCGGCTCATGAGCCAACTTGTGCAAGTCATTGCTCGTCTCACGCTCATTGCTTACTTGGGGCTCGACGAATGATTAACCTCATTTAAAATCCCTATAGAGATGTCAGCTACACCAATGTACTCGATCAATGTGTAAAAGTAGCACCAACTAGGTAGTCGTATATTTTATCAAAAGGATCGCATCCCTAATTAATTTGCTAGGATTTGTCGAGTTATGGTAGTGTAATGTTGATGGTAGCTGATTAGTGTTTTTGGACATTTGGGGTTACTTTCGATGAATTATAACTTAGTCTTGTGTATTTATTGTTTGTTAGGTAAAACTCAATGTTCGAATGTGAAATGGAAGTGATGAACGAAATCAACGTAAAATGATGATTTTCAAAATTCAAGAACTATATTATAAATAACAAAAGTTGATTTGAATTAGGATTGTTGATTGAAGAATGTTAGAGGTCAACTGGACGAGATTGAAAGCCAAAAGATTGAAATTGCACTTAAAAAGGACTCGATTGAACAAAGGATGAAAGATTGGGGACCAAAATGCACTTTTTCAAAAGTGCAGGTTTTAACCTAATTTTCGATGATTACAAGTACAAAATGTGGACAAACATTATAATGATCACTCTCTAGCTTCTCATTTCTTATTATACAAAAAAAAAAAATTCAAGAACAAGTGGCCAATTCACTGTCTTTTGGAAGAGAAGATCAAACTTAACAAGGAATTGAGGATAAAATTACATCAAGATTGTTAATGATCAAAGGCTTGGAATTGAAGATCGAGAATACGAAATTGTTCATATAAATTTTGAATAATGTCTTTTCATTATTCTTCTTATAATAGTATTAAAAACAAGCTTAATAAATTTTCTTTGTGTTGGGATGAAAATGAACCTTGTTATTATTATTTATTTTTAGCTGAAAATTCAAGTAGTTTAGTTTATTTGTGTTCTTTTGATCTTGTAAGCTTCTTGCATTATTTATTTGCTTAGTCTCCAATTAGGTAACAGATACTTGTTATAGTTCTAGGATGTTCATAATAAATAAGAACTTTGCAAAATTAAAATGCGGACAATAGATGTTAGGAATAACATATACAATTTGTACAATTACCTTGATAATCATATAATTGAATGCATTACTTTGCATATGAATCCCGAATAGGAATTTGATTGGGTTGTGGTTAAGATATGTTTAACTTATTCCAAGAGAGATGGTTAAATAAAATTGAATCATCAATTGTTAAGAATACATAAATTATACTAAATTACATATGCCGAAAATTGAAAGTAGGATAATAATAGGTGGATTTGGAATTCCAATACATAATTCTCATCAAGTAAATACACCGTTAGATAATTAGTAGATCATTTAGATATAATCAAAACATATCTTTTTTGTTGTGACACATTCAAATTTGATAACAGACTAATAGAATTCAATTTAAAGTTTATTCTTCGTGTGATAATACTCTTTTTCACTCTATTATTACCTTCAACAATTTTGTAAGTTTGTGGGTTTAACACGAACTACAGCATTGGTGGTATTTGGAAGGTGGTAATAGTATTTGGGGAGCTTGATTCCGATCATAACAACGATGATGGCGGAAGGCACTGACTATTGATTTAGTTAGGTGGTGATAACACAAGTGTTACTTACAAATAACACATGTTACCTTTAATATTAATATTGATATTGATGAGATTTAGAAGATATTGATAGTGTTTGGGAGCTTGATTTTGATCGTAGCAAAAACAATGACAGTGGAAGGCACTGATTGATAGCGTTTAGGTTATATTTGGTTAGGATATATCGAGTTATGGTAATGGTAACACGTGTTATTTATAAGTATTACATGTGTTACCTGGATGTCGATATTGATGAGATCTGGAAGATGGTGGTATTAGTCGGGACTGTAATTTTGATCGTGGCAACAATGGTGGTGGTGGAAAGCGCCAATTGGCAGGGTTTGTGTTGTTTTTGGTTAAGATATGTCTAATTATGGTGATTGTAACACGTATTTTACCTTACAAATATGATGGCGGTATTGAGATTTTGTAAAAATGTTGGTAGTGCTTGAGAGCTCAATTCAGATCATGGTATGACAACGGTGATGGGAGGCCTCGATTGGTTACACCAAGTATATTGTAATCTATATGCAGAAATATATTTATAGTGCAAAGAAAAATCTAAGTTGTGTTGGAGTTCAACTATAACAAGTTTAAACAACAATAAAGTGTTTGGGATAAAATAAGATTTAAAAAATCGGTCAAAATCGTGAACTATTTATTTCCAGATAAGACAGCGGTCTAGCAACTGTTGAGGGCCAACTACTCAAACAGCTGCCTTGTGTTAAACAATTGTTGGGACTACCTTTTTAAGCATTCGAGCGGGATCAAGGGGCGTAGCGAGCTCGAGTTCAACGTTTTGCTTCTCCTTACACAAATTCATTTTCTCCTATTGTAACTTGGACTCCTTCAAGTATAACACAAATTCTAAACTCCCAAATTGAATTCCAACTAGAATTCTCAAATAGTTTTCCAAATAGATTTCTAGTCACACCTTAATTCCAACCGTTATTACGTTGAGGAGCTGCATAGAATAGAATATAATGCATGTAACGTGTCAGTGATATGAATTCTGTACGATTGAATAACCTTCATAATATGATTTCTTTGATATAAAAAAATGTCATTAAATAAATAATGTTTAGAGTCTCGAGATAAAACACAAAATTTTTGCTGGACGAATAAAACAAAATTGAATATATAGAAATGAGTAGGGTAATATTAAGGGTGGCAAAGTTCGAACAGCAACATAAGCATGATTTATACTGATTCTTAACAATTTAGTTCCCTTTTGGCTCTCGTTAAATAAAATTTCATTTATCTTTCTCATATTTTCAATCACACAATCTCTTCATAAAATAATATTATACGTAAATTGAAATTTTTTCTTTTTTTTAACCACTCATTTTTCAAAAAAATACTATTTCACCCATTATAATTGTAAAGATGGGAGCTAAACCGGAGTTTAGTTATAAATGGTGTTTGAGCCGCCATTTTGTGAAAAAGTGCATTTTAAAATAGTAGATGGTAGGAAATATGTGGTTAAAAAATAGAATTTTTTTAATTTATGTGTAGTATTATTTTAATGGAAAATATGTGGTTAAAAAGAAGCAAAAGAAAAATATATTTTTAGAAAAATGATATATCGAACTTCATTTGACACTAATCTTATCAAGGAATTGATTAATTAAAATTAAAAAGATATAAAGTTACTTATTTAAGAAAAATAATTTGTCTGTTTGTCTTCCATTAAATTTAGTATTATTATTCTTTTGGAAAATTGAGTTTTGGAATAGTATTTTTTTTTTTGTGGGAGAATGTAAGTTCAAGAAGTAGCAAAAAAAATTTGAATTTACGTACAAAATATTTTATTGTGTGAATATATAATTGAAAATAAGTTTAAAAAAATGAATTTTGATTTTATGAAAATCAACCGGGACTAAGTTAAGTATTACCTTAAAAGTTCTTTTATGAATAAAAAGTAATTTTAACCATTAATAAAATAAATATGTTACTTCCGTCTATGAAAAGGGTAATTAGAACAAAATATTCTTACTTTTCAATGTTATTATGTAAAACGTTATTACCTTTCATTTTTTAACATTTTCACCCCTCATTTTCATATTTCATTGTAGAAAAAGTATTTTTTATCCAATTTCTCAAGAAAAATGTAAAATGTCAAATATACCACCGTATTAAAATAAAACGAAAAAAGAAAACAAATATTAAAGAAGAAATTGTAATTATACTTTCTAACGTTTTTAAAAACTACAAATGAGTCTAAATAAATTATTAAAAGGGTAATTATTACAAAACGTCCCTACTTTTATTTTTGACATTTTCACCTTTATTTTCATATTTTATTGTGGAAATCGTCATTTTCTTTTATTTTTCGATTAAAAACTATAAAATGAAGAATATACCTTCTTATTTTAAAAAAAAATAAAGATAAGAAAAATAAAGAACAAATTGTAACTATACTTCCAACTTTTTAAAAGAGTATGAAAATAATTTCAAATAAATAACTAAAAATATTAGAGGATATATTCTTTATTTTACAGCTTTTAATTGAGAAAATGGATAAAAATATAAAAATATAAAGGATAAAGACGTCTTGCATAATAATATTGAAAGCGCGGAGAAGAGAGCAAATCCCTCTCTCCTCCCTTCTAAAATGCTCTTTTCCTCGAGTTAATTGTTCCAATGGTTAATGTCTTTGATTGATCAATAAAGTTTAAAATATCGAATTTTGATTACTGAACTATTTCGATTGCTTATCGAAATTTAAAATATTTTATTTTGACCACCGAATTTTGAAAAATATTATACATTACTCATTGTAAACTCAACATTTTTCAAAATTCAACATTTATACTAATGAGTAAAGTATAATATTTTTTAAATTTCAGTCATCAAAACTCAACATTTTAAATTTTGGTGAACAATCGAAAATATATAGCTAAATTCAATATCAAAACTCAAACATTTTAAAATTCAATTACTAATTGAAGCCATGAACCTAACTTTAGTGGCCATTTGAACAATTAATTCCTCTTCGTCTCCCCCCTACTCTCTCATATGAAACTGCAATTACTGCTTGAATAATTTATATTAAATACATATAGAGACACTGAAAGAATTAATTTGTGTTTGAAGAGAGTGAAATGTGCAGCCAACCAAGAACAAACACTGACATTGCAGAGAGAGAGAGAGAGAGAGGAGTAACGAAATTGTGATTAAAAATTGGTGAACAAGCATTTTCTGCATTATTTTTAATCTCAAATGCACACGGGTTCTCCGGTTTCTTACTCTTTCTCTCACAGCATTTTTCTTGGTTTTTAACGTGTGTTCTTTTTTTTTATCCTTTTTTTTATTTATATTTTTTGTTTTTTTCCACAACACATGCACTCCTCTCTCTCTACATACATTTTCTACGTTCTCCAAAAAGATTCTTTCAGATCTACAGCAAAAAGTTTGGCCCTGAATGAAGTTGCCCTGCCCTTTTGTTCTTAAACCAGAAAGGATTATAATCAACAATTCATAGGAGGTCAGTATCTCCAGTTAATTTGAGTGATTTTTCAATATGGGTTTATGGGTATTTATCATAATATTGTCTGCAATGTATTTGTTTCATAATTAGGATAAATAATTGGAATTTCTCTTTGAATTTTCGGTTGATTTCATGTTTCTTATTTGATAATTTCTTGCCTATTTATTGGTGGGAAGCTTAGGGTGAGTTTGGTTTGCATTTGTGTTTTTCGTTTTCAGATTTGAATTTATTTTCTATTTTATATTTTGTTGGATTATTTTAAGATTGTCGAAAAGTCCCCTAATTTGGTATTTTGAAAAACAGTTTCTCAAAACAAAAAATTAGAAAATGCGTTTGGTTTAAAAATTTTAGAAATATTTTTATGATTATTTTTGGCCAATTAATTTGATTATTTAGTAAGATATCAATTTTATGCTAATATGTGATAAAAAAAAATATATTTTAAAGTTGTATTTGGGTAGGTTTTGAATAATTTTATTAATTTTTTTAATTTGAGAAAATTTTAAGTTCATTTTCCTTGTTTTGAGTTTTTTGAGCGCTTCCAATGCGACAAAAACTCATTTTGAGCTTTATGTTGTAAAACTTTTCTTGTTTTCGAAAATACATTTTTGAAAATAACATGCCAAACTGAAAACTTAAAATGGCTTCAAAATAGCAAACCAAATGCACTCTTAAATTCTGTGAAGTTATTTAGTTCTAAAAACATATATTCTGAATGATATGATTATCAGGTAATTTTGATCTTATGTTTCATTCAAAGTTTGAAATCACTGCTATCGATCAAGTCTGCTAATAGGTTTTCGGTTCTTGCAATAGGTCCTAGAAGAGGAGGATGTCTTTGAAATGTTGGTTCAACAATAATTTTGTTCTCCATGTTTGTAATGAAATTAAATTTCTTAGTTTCACTCGTCTCACGAGGAGGGATTAAGGTGTCAGATCACGTTGTGCTTCGGGGGAAGATTGAATGCATGGAATATCTTTGTTTGTTTATGTGTGTACATTTATACAGAATTTGACGGTACATTGTTACTTGAATGCACAGTCTAAAGTAGTGTGATTAATAGCATCTTCATTCTCAAGAGACTGTGTACTCATCCGTGAAGCTCCTCGCATTTTATGTTTTATATGTTCTTTTTGTTGGTTTTATTTAGATTTTTTCTTTTTGCAAAATCATTTCGAGTGTTGGCAATGGGAGTGAATTTCATCTTTATTCTTCCAGCATAATCTTGCATTGAGAAAGGATACTTCCAGGGTACTGGACAGAATTTAAAGTAGTTAAAATTGTTTCCACTATATTTTCTAGTCCTGTACAGTATGGTAAACATGTACCTAATGAATTTCATTTGTAATATAGGCCTTTGTTTCTTTAATGAACTGGGAAAATAATTTAGGCATTTCAACTTAACCCTCGACTATCATTTTTCTGTGCGGACTTCATTCCATTCTAACAGCAAAGAAATCCTGAAAACATTGGGGCGTCAAAGTACTCCATAATTTGATAAATCGAGCGTCATATATCAATGAAAGGTGCTAAAATTTGATGTTTGTTAAATTGATAGTAAACTTATATAAGAGCTTCCTGTGACAGAATCAGATAGAAGGTGCTAAAATTTGTTTGTGAAATGGAGACGAATCAACCGAAAGAGACAGATATTGTCCTCTCTTCAACGTGGCCGGAAGATATAATTGAACCCGGGAGGCTGTTCAATGTAGAAAGGCCAGGAGCCGATCAAGATATATTGGAGGAGGTTGTAATCAGCAAGGAGCCTGCAACAGTGGATTTTAAGCATCTTTCAGAGCTTATGGACTACAGTGAGAAAGGTTCCTCGCAATTGGCCTATTTGGTAAAGAATTGGGAACACAAACAGGAAAAAGCTGTAAGGCTTCTAAGAGAAGAACTCGATACCCTTAGCAAGCAACAGCAAGAAGTTGAACTCAAGAAATTAGAGATATTGGAAGAGCATCGTATTGAATCGGATGGAGATGGGGGATATAAGCGTCCAATTTCAACTTTGGATGAAAATTTACAATATGTTTATCACGATACTCCTCAGAGAAAGAACGATGTTATCTTCGAAGATGAAACGTTAGACATGCATATTGAATATGACAGCACAATATACTGGAAACAGCGAGCCATGCATTTAGAGAAGTTGTTAGAGGCAAGTCTCCAGCGAGAGCAGGTATTGCAGGAAAAATTGCATGAAAGTACAGAAAATCTTGAGAGGCAATCCACCCCTGTGGAGGAATTATCCCAACTTTTAAAAAGAGCGGATAATTTCTTACATTTTATTCTCCAAAATGCACCAGTTGTACTAGGCCACCAGGTATGTTGCTTGAATAATAATCTTATATTATTCATTTAACCATTTGACATTTCTGCATGAGATATATGTAATATCGTCACTGGATGACAATATTGTGTGTTCTTCTTTTTGTTTTTTTGTTCTCCAAATCTTCTGTTCTCTATTTTTTTCTGGGACAAATCTTCTGGGAAGTGCTTCAGTTTTGCTGCTGGATTTAGTTATCATAATGAAAATCGTGAACATAATTAATAATTTTCATGTGCGGAAAAGAGGCAGGCGTAGTAAAGAACAGAAGGACTTAATTATTTTCTTTCGGTCTGTTTATAACTTTAGGCATGAACAATGTTGTTGATCTTAGCTTTAAATGGTGGATTATGCATTACAATCTGCTTCATCAAATTTATGAAACACTGATTGACCTGGTGTTCTAGTGAATTTCAGGATAAAGAACTGAGGTATCGCTTTGCCTGTAATCAATTCCCAAGTTTGCTTGAGGAGGTAATTTAACAAAAATTAATTTATTTTGATGTAGTTTATAGTTTACAAATTCAATTTTGGAAATTCCTATTAGTTTATCCATGGTGGTGGCCGAACTGTTGTCCTTCATGAAGAGTGGTGCCTCATATCACTATTTTTGGAATCTGGCACATTTATTCCTCTGAGTGATGGAATTTTCAGGATTTCATAGGAAAAACAGATGTGGAGATTTTCAGTGGTTCTGGTGTGAAGGAATCTCAAGAATTCAAAAGAGAAGTTTTGTATAATGGAATACCTGCAAAGAGGGAAATTACATTTGAGACAGACCTTTTTGGCTATAAAACTTTTCTAATTTATGTGGAACCGGTTTTCAACAAAATGGGGGAGTCCATTGGAATAAATTATATGGGAATGGATATAACCGTTCAGGTGAATTTCCAGTCTTAAGTAATTATATTCTCCTACTGAAGTGTATCAGTTCCTCCAGAAAATCAGAAACTTGATTTGTCATAGCCTGAATGTGAATGATAACTTGATTTAAAATAACCATCATGAAAATCTGATTTCGTATACTAAAAATCTGGTCTTAACGAGTTGTAATGGCTATCTACAGGTGAGGAAAAGAGAGAGAATGGCAAAGCTTCAAGAGACAATGGCTGTACAAAAAGCCAAAGACACAGAGCTTAATAAAACATTCCACATAAAAGGTTCATTTTAACTCGTATGAATTGTAATGGCTATCACAAAATCAAAACAATAATATTGTTTGCCGATTCACCCCCTGCTTTCATTTTACAGAGGAAGCAATACGAGCAAAACAAATTCTAGCAACGATGTCAGAAGAGATAAGATCTCCCTTATCTGAAGTTGTTAGCATGGCTGAGATCCTTTCCACGACTAAACTTGATAAAGAACAACAAAAGTTATCGAATGTGATAATATCTTCTAGTAATCTGGTTCTTCAACTAATAAATGACATCCTTGATCTTTCCAAGGTGGATTCAGGTGTGACCTCAATCCTTTTTGCTAGTTTTTTCGGTTTTTCTCGCATTCTTACAGGATACCATAGATCTTTGCTACCAATATATATAGAGTCACAATCAAGTGCCAAGAGTGAGCTTGATTTAAAACTTGTCTAGCTAAGCTCAAAAAGTTTGCTTATAAGTAAACAAGTTTGATTCAAAAATAAATAGTTTTCTTATTGTCAAAGTTGAAAATAAGTTACTTATTTTGAAACTAAGATAAGAGTTAATTTCTTAATTAAAAATAAGTAATCCAAACATATTTGGAAACAAAACATTTAAAGAGACCTTTACTTGTTATCAACCATAGGCAGACATACTCTTAATCTTTTTTCCATTATTTACAGTTTTCAATTCTATAAGAAATCTAGGACTTAGTTAATCTAAATCTCACAACAGTTACCTCAATTTTGTTTTGAAGTCATGAAATTGGAATCTACGAAGTTTAGGCCGAGAGAGATAGTAACGCACATCTTGCAGACTGCAGCAGTATCAGTGCAGAAATTATTAACATTAGAAGGATATGTAGCGAATGATGTCCCCACAGAGGTACACTTTATGTTGTCAGTTGATCCAAAGGTTAATAGAGGCTCGATGAATTTTTTATAAAATGCAAAATTTTGATTCCAGGTTATTGGAGATGCCCATAGGTTTCGGCAAATCCTCACCAACTTGATCAGGTACTCAGTAGCCTTCTATTTTTTTTTTTTTTTTAACATATGGTAATACACGTTCAATATAAGCAAGTGCTTCATAATTTAGTTGGTAAAGTATAATTTTATTTCTAAATGGAGGATAGCTCCATTGATAGGATTTAAAATGGTTGAAAGTTTTTGGGACCATATCCTGTCTCATTGAATTTTCACAATAGATTTAGCCCCTGTTTGATGCCCATTAAAAAATGTGTTTTTTGGGAAAAATGGGTTTTGAAATAGTGATTTTTTTGGAGAATATGTAATTAAGAAGTAAGATAAAGTTTTGGGTTACGTACAAAATATATTATTGTGAGAATATATGGTTAAAAATGAGTTTTAGAAAAAAAAAAAAGTTTTTGGAAAATGGTAAACAAATAGGGGCTTAATAGATGTTTAGTTTCAGTAACTCGTCCATCATTGAAGGGTAAGAACTATGATCCTCACTAAAAGAAGATATTGATGGTTTACTTTTGAACGTATATTTTCGGCTCAATGTGGTTATAAGCCATGAAAATTCTAATCGAGACAGTCACTCTCCTTCATATGTTTATTTACTTTTGAAAACAGTTATAATCATGATTACAATCAACTATCTTTGTGTTTCCTTTTCGACTTGTTTGACTCTTCATACTGTTGCTATTCTGAAAAAAAAAAAAAAACGAATAAATATTTGAGTAAAGGCAAATATTTAGTGTCCTTTGATTGCATATGAACTCTATCAATTTTTTTGTGTTTAACAGCAATGGGATCAAGTTTACTCATGAAGGCAAGGTTGGTATAAAGGTTTATGTCATAGCAGAGCCACCTAGTGCAATCAAACAAGGATCTGATAAGAAGATTTCTTCAGATCAATCAAAAGTTTTACCAAATATAAAGGAAGACGATAAATGCTTATCAATTTCTCAGAGTATGGGTGATCAAATTGGTACTCATAGACCTAAAGATGGAGAAGATACTTGTGGAAGTGATACACTTAAAAATGAACCCAATGACTCGATAAGAAACGAGATAATGATGGATGAAGACAAAGAGAGCCTTTTCAATACTCAAGAAAAAGTAGTGTGGATATGCTGTGATATCTATGATACTGGGATCGGAATTCCTGGTATATATACTCAAAATTTTCTTTTGCTTGAATACGTGCTTTGAAAAAATTTATGCATGGAAGTATTTTTTATTTCGATAGTAAGGTAACTTTCAAAATAAATAAATTTCTTTACTTAAAAGATAGGAAAAGTAACTTTTCTAAACATATTGGAAATAAAAAAGTGATTAACTTCGACTTATTTTTAAGTTCAGTTATGCACGGTCTTAGTGTAGATACCCCCGGTAGTTTATTATTCTTGTTTGATTTAATTGATGGATGTCTAAGTTAATAGGGGATATGACCTTTCTCAATCTTGGTGCAACAAAAAGTGCTCACCTTGTTTAAGGAGTACATGCAAGTTGGTGCAGATACTGCTGGAGAGGATGGTGGGACGGGATTGAGCCTTGCAATCTGTAAACAACTGGTAATCTTTCATGGTCTTCTGATGCACTTTTTCATAATTTACTTGTCTAAAAATAAAACATAAAGTAATTAAGAGTAGAATTATGAAAGGAATTTCACTTCAAGAAATGTTCATTATGAGTTTTTATTTATTTTGTGGCTATGCATGCTTTTTTATTATATTACTGAGAGGCAAGTATTGGTTGTATCATCTTTGATGTAGTGTTCTACAAGGTGAAGCTTTTGGCAGGTATTCCCACAAATAGTAAATATTGTTCGTGTATGTACAGGTTGAACTCATGGGTGGTCATCTCACTTTATCCAATAAAGAACACTGCTGGTCGACTTTTACGTTCGTACTACCTTTCAAGGTTTTGTCAGTGTATGATAGTTCCAATGATCTTGATGAAGTGTCCGATATGGCCAGTCATGATGTCCTGGACGATGCAAATGACGATGATTTACATCCCAATATTTTCCTGTTCCCACCGCGATCTTTCCGAAGAAGTTTTGATTGATAAAAAAGATGAATATGTTTCAACCGATACGTAAAAATATCCACATGTATAGATACCATCATCTAAGTCTACAAAGACGTATCTTTTGAAAGAAGTTTGTATTATTTGAAAAGAAGTTTTGATTAATAAAAAAGATGAATCTATTTTAATTGATATGCCCTTAGACACAGTAAAGATCAAAGAACTTTGTTGTATGTACAAAAAATACAAGCTTGACAGGATGTTGTCATCCTGTCATTGTGCAATGCCCAAGTAATGCAGTGTTAGCAGTTAAAGCAGTGCTACCAATACTGCATTTAGCAGTTGTGCGGGGTTGGCAAAATTCAAAATCGAAAGAAGGATGCACACTTTTGTATATGATTCTCAAATAGTATAGAATTACCTTTTAAACACTAGGATGCACACTGTATGTTCAATATCTGAATTGTAGTTCTCGTGTCGAAACCTTCCCACTATTTTGCAATTGACGATACTTACATGGAGCTTTTATCGAATCATGAATCAAATATTATTTATAGTGATTAGTTTTCCCACATAACTAATAATATCAATGTTACTTCGTAATTCATTATGGTCACACTAATTCAAATTTTAAGATATTTCTTGAAGTACATCGAACTTCGTTGCGGTAATGATTTTCTCAACAAGATCCCCAAAACATGTTTTGGTTTATCATAACATGATCCTAGTACTAAATCTACATTGAAGACGGACTTATTGTCGGTCATCATCCACTAATTAAAAGCTAAGAATATTCCAAGTCAAACGAATTTACTCTGACTACCGCTGTCACCTACAAAATAACTTAGAAGCTAAGGCTAACAAAAGGCTCCATGTTTTAGGCTTTCCAACAAAGGCAAGCTATAATATGTTGGGTAATGCTACACGTATCAGTGTAGATCCTCTCATATGGAAGGAGATTCATTTCGAATAAATATGCGAGGATGGTAAACATCAGTATGGACATCGCATTATATATAAATAGTATATTCTTAATATGTTATATCTTTTTACGGTAGTGGGATTTACTATTATTTGATAAAATCTACCAAAAGGCCCTTTTTTAGCATTAATTCCGCCGGGATAACAAAAAAGTTAGTTACATGCATTTTCTCTGTCCAAACTGTCTTAATGGATTAGGAGTTCAGTGGGGGCCTGAGTAAGAAATCACGGAGTGGTGTTCTCCACTCTCAATCTTGGTCAAGCATGTGTCGATCCACGATTTGTTACAAGACATTTATTTTATTTATAGGGATTAAAATCAAATTTTTAGTAGATTTCGATAAAAAACTTGATGAAATATGTAGTTAAAAAATTACGAGTCCTATAAAATATGTTGTTAAATTAATTGTTGACTATGACTTAAATTGAAATCTTAATTTTAGTTTTCACCAAACAATGACTTAATTCCGTCTAATTTTAACTATTTTTTGTGTCAAGAAACTTAATAGAGAAAACTACGGGTGGCAATGGGCAGGAAATTTCACTCGCCAACCTTGTCCGACCGGGTCTAAGGCGAGGCGAGGCGAGTGAGGGAATGGTGTCCGTTAGAATTTTGCCATCTCCGGAGAAAAATCTAATGCACTGGTATTCAATATTTGTACAAACTAGACCCGACCCAATACACAGTCTCTTCTTGATATGTTCTAGCCAATGTCTCTAGGCCCGGTAGGTTTTGGAATTTGAACCACTCGGAAGCAAGTTAAACTTATTTCTAGTAATTTAGTTTATTTAACATAATTTTTTATTAATGGAAACTTAAGTTAATAAGAATTACCTTTTACAAAGTAACTTTTATGCACACTCAGACATGTTAAGAAATTATAAAAATAAAATTATATAATTTCCCAAAGGATCAAGCGTAATTTTATACAGTCACATTAAAGATATGTTTGAGCCCCATTTTTAGCTAAGAATGTATTTTGGAATAGTAAATTGATGAAAATTGTGTTGTTAAAAATAATGAAAAGTGTTAGACTTGCGTGTCATATTATTTTATTGAAGAATTGAAGATTGAAAAAAAGTGAGAGAGAATGTATTTTAAAAATAATATTACTCAAACAAGGGCAAAATCTAACTCATTATTATATAGTCAATATTTCTTAAAATGCGTATTTATTTCAAGTAAGCTCACAAATTTCTATAAACTTTTAGAATTCATGTCACACTCATAATGTTAGGGATGTTTAAAAAGTAGTGAAAATATGTGATAAAATTTCATTATTCATAGCATTTATAATGCTGTCTATGTTTCTATGATGGCCCAAAATATGGTTGTGAACATTGGCTCTAAAATAGAGGTAAGTGAAGCGAGCAGAGCAATGAATTTCTCTTACGAGCTGCTTATCGACTCGCATGAGTGATCTTATGATCCAACTCATCATCAGAGGTTGGGTTGGGTTGGGTAGATTTTTTCCCCAACCCAACATGGTTGGTTTGATCTAAAATCAAACCAACTCAACCCGGACAAACGTTAAAACCCAACCTAATCAAGTGTCGGTTGGGTTGGATTACATTATCAATTTGGGCAAAATTTAATTAATTATCATATATTCTAACAAAACCAACTTGTCATCCAAATAACTGAAATACGATTAATATTAATATAGGGTACAACCATCCAAATAAAAATTCACCCAAGTACAATTAATACAGTAATCCATTGTAATAACTGAAATACGATTAAGCCTAAAGTTTTATTTTACAGGCTGATTGTACATTGTTCTGCATGTGATGTAATATACACATTTATACTTCGAATAAACGGTAAATGCGAGCGCACAAATGTTTAGCTACGGCCTACAAGTTTTGTTCGTACCTAGAATACGGATTCTTGCCTCACAAAATTGATGAACATTTGATATTCTATAATAGGACCTGACGGCTGATGTAGTTCAAGTTTCAACGATTCTAGCAGTTTTGTGGACAAGGGCCAAGGCTAGACGAGCTTCAAGCCTGAAAAGGCAAGCCAAATATGAGAAGCAGAGAAAAAATGTACATGATTTTACCCTCCATATTCGTCACATTAGAGACAAACTATGAGAAATAGGTACAGAAAATAAGGAAATATACTTACTCTAGCACTGGAGTGTGAACGTCTGATGATTGGCAACTAGAAAGCGAAGATAGCCGTCAACGATTTGAGAGAAATTGACCTGAGACAGATTAGAGCTTGTTGTTGACTTTGAGGTGGGAATGAAGAAGTGAGACGAGAAAGTAAAGTTTAGGGTCTTTTTTTTTTTTTTTCCCCAATTTTATGTCTTTTTTTAGGTTGGGTTGGGTTATATCGGGTTTTCCTTGTTAACCCATAACCCCTGACTTCTCAACCCAATAACCTAAAATCACCAAAAAAACAGCAAAAAGTCGACCCAAGCCGATCAGTTCTGGTCGGAAGGTTTCTCAGATTGGTTTGGGTTTTGTCAAGTCCTACTCATCATAATAAGTTACTTAAATTGCATTTTCTGGTTTGACAAATTCTTCATTAATGATAAAAACAAAGGAGAATTCAATTTCAACAAAATAAAAAATAAAAAATGGCGAGCTGTTGGCACAACTTGCCCCACTTAGGACTGAGCTCGTGGGATTAGCTAAGACACGTTTCAATTGAATGAATCAGACTGTGCCCGACTCACTCTATTAAACACCCTACTCCAAACAAAGGGATTAATTATCCACAACAACTTTAAATAAAGTTATATATATATATATATAGTTGTAAACTAAAAAATAAGTAAAATAGATAAGCAAATGCTGCAAGAAGAATATTAAAGTTTGTCAATGAAAAAATATTGGAACCAGTAGCTATTGTCTCTCTCAAAATAATAAATTCTATAAAATTTTAAAGAGTCAGTAGAAACGGTAGAAAGGGAATGCACCTCGTTAACCCATGCTTATCCTTTTACTGATCCGAATATTATGGAAATTGTCTAGTGAACACACATTCTTAATCTTGTCCATAACACACTCATTCTTGGTTAAACTCTTTTTAGGTGACTTCTAAAAAGAATAAACTCTCACAATAAGCTAATTATGTTATCTTAGTTGAGTCGTAGAAGTTTCACACTTTCCCTTTTATACCGTAAGATAAGGTATCACGGAAACAGGAATTTGTACGAGAGTAATTATCTGGTCGTTTTAGCTAAGAATAGATTATCCAATGATGTTATCTTTGCATGAGTATTATATCCTCTATTATCTGTTTGTAGCGCGTCTTACCCCTACCCCCTCACCCCCACACATAACCCACAAAATGGTAAAAGTGTTTCCATCATTAAACCATTATTTAAGAAAGTGATGGATTGGATCATGACTGGCATACATACATGTTTAGCACTTTAGAGGTCATCTGTTCTTTTCTACTACCTTAAAAGTAAGCTTAGATTAAATCTCCTCTTTATGCTTTAGAAAATTAAATAGTAAAAAATTACTTATTTTAGAGTAATTAAACAAAAGCCAGTTGGAGTTGGCATAATTAGACTGACTGAGCCATGTGTTTACTCAAGTTGCAATCCATATGCTAATTGAAGTTGACATTTGGCTACCAGGTTGACTTGTCATGAGCAATTTTTCAACAATTATTAATTAATATAAATAAATACACATATAAAGTATAAAATTTGAAAGAAATTGAATAAGGAGCTATATGTGGTTAAAATCTTATCATGTTCACAGATTAATAGTCCCAATTTTGAAAATGATCGACATTTTACGTTTCAGTTCAATGCAGTTACTTGATTATGCCGTAAATTTTCTCATCCGTATTATTCTTTCGATGAGTAATATAATTTAACACACACACATATGAAGAAAAGACAGACGTGAAAGAATAGCTTGAAATCCCAATGAAAGGGTGACCTATGTAGCTTAGTTGTCAATGCATTAAATTATAATCATTCAAATGAATAATAAATATTAAATTAAAAAATAAGGTTACTTATCCCATATCATTGTTCTCCAACTAATTTTATTCACTATGTCCACGTTTAACTTAATGATTGGAGCCGTCTCACTAGTGGATACATATACTTTCATTTTATGATTAGTACTAAAATAATTTCTTAATTAAGGAGATTCCATTAATCCAACTACTCCATCATCTTGTTTTTTTAAAAATAAGAAAAGGGTTCCTAATTTTATTTTTGAAGTGATTAATCATCACATGAACTTTATTAACTAACTCATTCGGTAGTGATTAATCAATTTTTTGGGTTGAAAAATTACTCCCAAACAGGTCTCAAAAATGGTCTTCGAATTTGTTTATGGAGAGAGAAGAGATTATATGACATTTTATCTTTTATTGAAATCATATTCCTTAGCAGACGCTTTCTATGTTTCATGAAATAAACATGGGTTGTATTAAAAATGTTGTTCTCACAATAAATGTCAATTGTCACACATTCAACTGTGTTTAATTTAACGTACCAAATATGTCAATATTCATTTCCTATCAAGAAAATCACCAAAATTTTGAAGATTTCAAAGAATAAAATATACAGGTAAATTTCACACCAACTCGACTCCTTATTAAGTAAGTATAGAATTGAACCATCCATCTAAATAAAAGACTCTTTTGTACAAAGAAAATATGAATAAACACTTGAACAAAAAAGAAGCCATTTTAAACCAGGATGAAGACCGTCACTCCTCAGAATTAGTCATATGCAACTTGGACACCTGAGTTATAAAAAGAAAAATGAAAAAAAAGGAAACCACTTTAACAAAAATAAAATAATATTATGTTTCCTGTTGACGTTTTTAAAAATTAAAATAAGCCCTTTTAAATAAATTTATTTATTTTTATTTTCGCTAAGATCACCAAACATGGACTGACATAATTGGTCCACTGTGCATTGACATGTTTCCAAAAATAACTTCTTTCAGTTAATCAAATTCAATGCATAATGGAGGAACAAAAATAGCATGGCCAACTTGCTCTTTTACATAGATATATAATAATTAAAAACTTTCATGAATTTTAAAAGGTGGCTAAATAATATCACATTCTACATTAAAATTATTAAAATAAATTTTTAAAAGCAATGAAGTCTTCTTTAGGGTCGATTTGGATGTCTTTTAAAAAGTCGAAAACTGCTTATGAGATTAATAGACCGTTTTTGAATATATTTGAATAATTTTCTAGAAAATACTTTGATTAGAAGAATTTTGAACTTCCTCGAGAAAGTTTTCTGCAAACAGAGGTCTTGCCAAACGAGCCTTTATCATGTTGATTTGCATTGAATAGAATGTAACGCATGAATTTTGTACGACAGAATAAGCTTCACAAAACGAAACTGAATACGTAAAAATGAATATGATAATATTAAACATGATTAAGTTCATGTAGAGATATTTTAGGGGGTTTTAATAATATTTTTGAATCAATTCTTGAAAATTTAGTTTTAATAATATTTTTGATCAAATAATAGGATGGATCTGATCAAGATTTCAAAGAATAAAATATACCGGTAAATTTCACACCAACTCGACTCCTTATTAAGTAAGTATAGAATTGAACCATCCATCTAAATAAAAGACTCCTTTGTACAAAGAAAATATGAATAAACACTTGAACAAAAAAGAAACCACTTTAAACCAAGACGAAAGCCGTCACTCCTCAAAATTAGTCATATGAAATTTGGACACCTGAGTTATAAAAAGAAAAAAGAAAAAAAAGGAAACCACTTTAACAAAAATAAAATAATATTATGTTTCTTGTTGACGTTTTTAAAAATTAAAATAAGCCCTTTTAAATAAATTTATTTATTTTTATTTTCGCTAAGATCACCAAACATGGACTGACATAATTGGTCCACTGTGCATTGACATGTTTCCAAAAATAACTTCTTTCAGTTAATCAAATTCAATGCATAATGAAGGAACAAAAATAGCATGGCCAACTTGCTCTTTTACATAGATATATAATAATTAAAAACTTTCATGAATTTTAAAAGGTGGCTAAATAATATCACATTCTACATTAAAATTATTAAAATAAATTTTTAAAAGCAATGAAGTCTTCTTTAGGGTCGATTTGGATGTCTTTTAAAAAGTCGAAAACTGCTTATGAGATTAATAAACCGTTTTTGAATATATTTAAATAATTTTCTAGAAAATACTTTGATTAGAAGAATTTTGAACTTCCTCGAGAAAATTTTCTGCAAACAAAGGTCTTGCCAAACGAGCCTTTATCATGTTGATTTGCATTGAATAGAATGTAACGCATGAATTTTGTACGACTCACAAAACGAAACTGAATACGTAAAAACGAATATGATAATATTAAACATGATTAAGTTCATGTAGAGATATTTTAGGGGGTTTTAATAATATTTTTGAATCAATTCTTGAAAATTTAGTTTTAATAATATTTTTGATCAAATAATAGGATGGATCTGATCAAGAAACTCATTAATTGTAATTAAAAAGATAAAAAGTTAATTTAGTTACATTAAAAGTTAATTTTATGAATAAAAAATAATTTGGAAAATTGGTTACACGCGCCGCCTAAATACGTTACCTCGTAAAGGGTGGGGGAGCGAATCCCTCCCTTCTCCGTTTTAAAATACTCTCTCTCACACACACACACACACACACACACACTCTCTCTCTCTCTAATATAATACTGCAATTGTTGCATACGTGTTGGTCGAATGAATCAATATATAAATACAGATAGAGGCACAGAAAGAAGTAATTTGTGATTGAAGCGAGTGAAATGTGCAGCAATTACATACCACGAATCCAACCAATAAACACTCACAGACATTGTAGAGAGAGAAAGATGAATAATGAAATTGTAAATAAAAAATGGTGAACTAGCATTTTCTGCATTATATTTCATCTCAAACGCACATGGGTTCTTCAGTTTCTTACTCTTTCTCTCACAGCATTTTTCTTGGTTTTTAATGTTTATCTGAGTTTTTCAATTTTTTTGTTTTTTCCACTGCACATGCACTCCTCTCTCTCTTCATACATTTTCTATGGTCTCCAAAAACTTGGCTATTATTATTTTTTCATTGACTGAGTACTTCAAAGATATTCTTTCAGATCTACGTTGAAAAGTTTTGGCCCCGAATGAACTTGCCTGCCCTTATGTTCTTCTTGAACCAGAGAGGATTATAATCGACAGGTCAAAAAAGGTCAGTATCTTCAGTTAATTTGATTGATTTTTCAATATGGGTTTATGGGTATTTAACATAATTTTCTCTGCAATGTATTTGTTTCATAATTGGGATAAATAATTGGAATTGCTCATTGAATTTTCGGTTGATTTCATGTTTCTTATTTAAAAATTTCTTGCCTATTTATTGGTGGCGAAGCTTAAATTCTGTGAAGTTATTCAGTTCTAAAAACATCTATACTGAATGATATAATTATCAGGTAATTTTGGTCTTATGTTTCATAGAAAGTTTGAAACCACTACCAGCTATCAAGTCTGGTAATCTCTTTGTCCTCTTTGGTGAATTTTAAGCTGGGGCGAATCAGAAGGATAAAAGTGATCTTGAAGATTTTTGGTTCTTGCAATAGGTCCTAGAAGAAGAGGATGTCCTAGAAATTGTTTTTCAACAATAATTTTGTCCTCTATGTTTGAGATAAAAATTTTCATTTTCTCTTATCTAACGAGGGAATAAGGGGTCAGATCACCATTAAATATCTTGTTTGTTTTTGTGTGTGCATTTGAAGAAAATTTGGCGGTACATTATTACTTAAATGCACAGCCTTATTTAGTGTAATTAGTAGCATCTTCGCTCTGAGAGATTATGTTTTTATTTATTCTTTTTCTTATCGCAAATCATTTTGAGTGTTGGTTTTGGGAGTGAACTTCATCTTTACTTTTTCAGCATCTTCTTGCATTGAGAAACGATACTTCAGGGTACTGGACAGTATTAAAGAGAATATAGTTAAAATATTATCTACTCTACTGTCCAGTCCATTCTAGTATGCCAAACATCTCCCTAATGAATGCCATTGTAAAATATAGGCATTTATTTCTTTAATGAACTAAGATAATGATTTAGGCACTTACCTCTCCAATATCCTTTTTCTGTGCAGACTTCATTCTGTTCCAGCAACAAAGAAATCCTTAAAATAAGGCATCAAAGTCTTCCATAATTTGATAAACCGAGTGTCATATGTCCATGAATGGTTGCACGGCGTGTAAACTTGATGTTGATTAAATTAGGAGTAAAATTATAAAAACGTTGCCTGTGACAGAATCACATAGAAGGGGCTAAAAATGGTTTGTGAAATGGAGACGGATCAATCGGAAGAGATGGATATTGTCCTCTCTTCAATGTGGCCAGAAGATATAAATGAAGCCGGGAGGCAGTTCAATGTGGAAAGGCCAGGAGCTGATCAAGACATGTTGAAGGAGGTTGTAATCAATGAGGAGACTGCTGTAGTGGATTTTATGCGCCTGTTAGAGCTTACGAACTACAGTGAGAAAGGTTCTTCGCAAGTGGCCTATTTGGTAAAGAATTGGGAATATAAGCAGGAAAATGCAGTACGACTTCTAAGAGAAGAACTCGATAACCTTAGCAAGCAACAACAAGAAGTTGAATTCAAGAAATTAGAGATATTGGAAGAACATCGTTTTGAACAAGATGGATATGTTGGCGATAAGCGCCCGATTTCAATTTTGGATGAAAATTTACGATACTTTTATCACGATACTCCTCGGAGAAGGAATGATGTTATCCTCCAAAATGAAACATTAGACATACATGTAGAATATGACAGCACAATATATTGGAAACAGAGAACCATGCATTTAGAGAAGTTGTTAGCAGCAAGTCTCGAACGAGAGCGGGTATTGCAGGAAAAATTGAACGAAAGTATAGAAAATCTTGAGAGGCAATCCTCTCCAGTGGAAGAACTATCCCAAGTTTTAAAAAGAGCGGATAATTTCTTACATTTTATCCTCCAAAATGCACCAGTTGTTATTGGCCACCAGGTATGTTGCTTGAACAATAATCTTATATTATTCCTTCACTATTTGGCATTTCTGCACGACATTTATGTAATATGGTCAATGGATGACAATATTACCCATTCTCTTTGTTTTTTTGTTCCAATTCTTCTTTTCTCTATTTTTATTTTCTGGGACAAATCTTCTCTAAAGTTCTTTCGTTCATCTGCTGGATTTAGTATCATTATTAGCACCAAGATGATAATTAACTATTTAAATGTGCTGAAAAGATGCAAGCCTAGAAAAGAACTGAAGGATATAGTTATTTTATTTATTTCTTTCTTTTGTTCTGTTTATAACTTTATGCATGACCAATGTAGCTTCTCTTAGCTTAATACGGTGGATAGCATTAGAATCTGCTTCATTAAATTTATGAACCACTGTGATTGACCAAGTGTTCTAATACGTTTCAGGACAAAGAACTACGGTATCGCTTCATCTATAATCATTTCCCAAGTTTGCGTGAAGAGGTAATTTTATAACGAATAATTTATTTTGATGCAGTTTATAATTTACAAATACATTTTTTTTTTCCAAAAATTCTAATCAGTTTATTCATGGTGGTGGTCAAACTGTTATCCTTTGTTATGAATGGTGGCCCCATATCCATTATTTTCATTTAATTTTATTTGTTTTTCTGAATCACTATTTGTGGAATATGGCACATTAATTTTTTAAGTGATGCAATTTCAGGATATTATAGGTAAAACAGATGTAGAGATTTTTAGTGGTTCTGGTGTGAAGGAATCTCAGGACTTCAAAAGAGAAGTTTTGGAGCGAGGATTACCTGCAAAGAGGGAAATTACGTTTGAGACAGAACTTTTTGGCTCTAAAACTTTTCTAATTTACGTGGAACCAGTGTTCAGCAAAACGGGGGAGACCATTGGAGTAAATTTTATGGGAATGGAAATAACCGATCAGGTGAATTTCTGGATTGAAGTCATTATATTCTCCTACTGAAGTGTATCAGTAGGATAAAATTCGAAACTTTGTTTGTCATCTACGGAATGTGAGCGATAACTTGATTTATAATGATCATCATGAAAATCTGTTTACAGGTGAGGAAAAGAGAGAAAATAGCAAAGCTTCGAGAGACAATGGCTGTACAAAAAGCCAAGGAGACAGAGCTTAATAAAACAATCCATATAACAGGTTCATTTAAGTCAAAATGAGTTGTAATGGTATCTATGGAGTGAACCTAATAAAAATGTTGCCGATTCATACCCAGTGTTCATTTTGCAGAGGAGACCATGCGAGCAAAACAAATGCTAGCAACAATGTCACACGAGATAAGATCTCCCTTATCTGGAGTTGTTAGCATAGCCGAGATTCTTTCTGCCACTAAACTTGATAAAGAACAACGACAGTTATTGAATGTGATGATATCTTCTGGTGATCTGGTTCTTCAACTAATAAATGACATCCTTGATCTTTCCAAGGTGGAATCAGGTGTGATTTCGATCCTTTCTACTAGTTTTCTAGTTTTCTGTTGTATTCTTACAGTACCATGGGATCTTTGGTGCGAACATATATAGTTACAATCAAGTGCCTAGAATTTGAGCATGTTTGGCTAAGCTTGAAAAGTTTACTTATAAGTAAACAAGCAAGTTTTTAAAATAAATAATTTTCTTATTGGTCAAAGTTAAAAATAAGTTATTTATTTTAAAACTAAGGTAAGAGTTCAGTCTTAATTAAAAATAAGTAATCCAAACATATCTGGAAACAAAAAGTTTGAAGAAATTGTTTTCAACCGTCGACAAACATGCTCTTAATCTTTTTTCAATTATTTATAATTTTCTATTCTTGAAATTTAGGACATGTCAATCTAAATCTCACAATAGTTACCTCAATTTTGTTTAGGAGTCATGAAATTGGAAGAAACAAAGTTCAGGCCGAGAGAGGTAGTAAAGCACGTCCTGCAGACTGCAGCAGCATCACTACAAAAATTATTAACCTTAGAAGGACATGTAGCAGATGATGTCCCCATAGAGGTGAGGGAGTCACCCACTTTATGTTGTCAGTCGATCCAAAAATTAATAGATTCAGAATTATTAAATGCAAAACTTCGGTTCCAGGTTATTGGAGATGTCCTAAGGATTCGGCAAATCCTTACCAACTTGATCAGGTACTCAATAGCCTAAAAATTTATTTGTAGCATATGGCGGCATACATTGAATATATGCAAGTGCCTCCCATTGTAATTTAGTGAAGTATAATTATATTTCTAAATAGAGGATAGCTCAATTGATTGGATTTAAAACAGTCAAAATTTTTGGGACCATGTCCTGATTGTATTTTCACAATAAATTTAATAGAAGTTTATTTTCAGTAATTTGTCCATCATTGAAGGGTAAGAAATTGTGATCCTTACTAAAAGAAGATATTGATGGTTTACTTTCGAACATATCTATTCAGCTCAACATGGTTATAAGCCTTGAAAATTCCAATCTCGTCTGTCTCTCTCCTTTATTTGTTTATTTATTTTTGAAGCTGTTATAATCATGTTTACAATTTACAATCAACTATCTTTGTATGTTCTTTTCAACTTATTCGACTTGCTTGAATCTACACATTTTTTGAAATTCTGAAAAATAAAAAATAAAAAATCCGAATATATACTCGAGTGAAGGTAAATATTTGGTGTGCTTCGATTGCATATGAACACTTTTGAACTTTGTTTTTAACAGCAATGCGATCAAGTTTACTCATGAAGGCAAGGTTGGTATAAAGCTTTATATCGTAGCAGAGCCACCTAGTGCAAACAAACAAGGATCTGATCAGAAGATTTCTTTAGATCAATCAAAAGTTTTAGCAAATATAAAGAAAGAAGATAAGTGCTTATCAATGTCTCAGAATATCGGTGATCAAATTGATACTCACAGACCTAAAGATGGAGAAGACACTTATGGAAGTGATACACTAAAAAATGAACCCAGTGGCCCGGTAAGAAATGGGACAATGATGGAAGAAGACAGAGAGAGACTTCTCAATACTCAAGAAACAATGGTGTGGATATGCTGTGATGTCTATGATACTGGCATTGGAATACCTGGTATATATTCAAATTTTCTTGAATACTTGATTTGAAAAATCTTTGGCATGTTTGGCTAAGCTTAAAAGGTTTACTTATAAGAAAAAGTAAGTTTTACAATAAACAATCTTTTTATTAATTAAAATTTGTCAGACATTTGTTATTTATTTTGATAGTAAGGTAAGTGTAACTTTCAAGATAAAACTCTTTTCTTAAAAGAAAGGAAAAAGTAACTTTTCTAAACATGTTTGGAAATAGAAAGCTACTGGTAATTTTTACTCACTTTTAAGCTCAGTTAAGCACGGTCTTAGTGCAGATACCACTGGTAGTGTTATTATTCTTGTTTGATCATTAATTGATGGATGTCTATATTAATAATGGATACGACCTTTCCCAATCTTTGTGCAACAGAAAATGCTATACCCACCTTGTTTAATAAGTACATGCAAGTTGGCGCAGATACTGCTCGAAAGTATGGTGGGACGGGATTGGGCCTCGCAATCTGTAAACAACTGGTAATCTGTCATGGCCCTCTGCTGCACTTTGTCCTAATTTACTTGTCTAAAATATTGCATAAAGTAGTTAGAAGTATAATTATGAAAGCACTTTTACTTCAATAAATGTTCATTATGAGTTGTTTATTTTATTTTGTGGGTATATATGTATACCTTCAATTATATTACGAGAGTCGAGTATTCGTTGTATCAACATTGTTGTAGGCCTATTTACTAGTGTTCACCAAGGTGAAGCTTTTGGCAGGCATTCTCGCAAACAGTTAATTTTATTCGTTTATGAACAGGTTGAACTCATGGGTGGTCATCTCACCGTCTCCAGTAAGGAACACTATGGGTCAACTTTTACGTTTGTACTACCTTACAAGGTTTCGCCGGTGTGTGATAGTTCCAATGATCCCGATGAAATGTCCAATATGGCCAACCATGATGTCCCAGACGATGCAAATGATGATGATTTACATTCTGGCATTTTCCTCTTCCCACCTCGGACTTTGGGTTCTTTATTTTCTACTCAAGTCTCCGGACGGACACAAAAATTCTCACCACCCAGTTATGGATCTAATGCCTCAACTAAATGTAGTGGAGTGTTAGACTCCTATTCATTCCCCTCTTATAACATTACATCTAAAGAGAATAGCTCAGTCAAAGATGTCGGTTCAGTAGGAGGCTCGATTGAGACATTACATGAAGCTGAAACTTCATTGAGGTATAGCTCGGATTCAGACAGCCCAAGCACAAGTGCAAACCATGAGCAGTGTAAGGGTGAAACTTCAGAGGTAATTGTTTCTCAAGATGTAACATGTAATACGAATAGAAGTTCCGAGGGTTCTTCAAGCAACACTCCAGAAATCCCAAAATCTGAGTTGAAGGCTAAGATCCTCCTTGTAGAAGATAACAAGATTAATGTTATGGTAACAAAGTCAATGATGAAGCAACTAGGACACTGCATAGATGTTGTGAATAACGGAGCAGAAGCTGTTCGTGCAGTTCAATGCAACAGCTATGATCTCATTCTAATGGTACGTATCAAAAAATCACAACGGATGGGAAAATGTTGTTCTATACTAGTCACAATGGTGACTTCCCCAACCCCCTTAAGTTAGTTTGTACATTCTCTCCTATAATTCAAGCACTGAGACTTAAATGTTCAATGATATTTTCAGCATTTTTTTGATATCCATTACTGTGTCTCTATTTATTGGTAAATGGGGAATATTTACAGGACGTATGCATGCCAATAATGGATGGTCTTCAAGCCACAAAACTTATTCGATCCTTTGAGGAAACCGGTAGTTGGAACGATGCAGTGAAAGCTGGAATCGAGCTTGAGTCACCTCCTGCTGATTCTTCGCCAAATTTGCAAGAACTAAAATATTGTAGAAAGAGGATTCCTATCATAGCGGTAAGCACTTGACTTTCATCTGTTAGCACAAGTTTGTCATGGTTTTTGAAAGGCTAAAAGCTGCTTCTTGGACTAAGAAGTTGCTCTTGGAATTGTTTGGATAATTTGTTGGAACTATATAGAAGAGCTTTTAGTCGGAAATACTTTCTTGTTGAAAGAGTTTTAGAGAGGTTGCCTCAAGCTGGCTTCCTCGCGAATCTCTTCTGAAAATGCAAAAATCCTTAGAACAGTCATTTATTTGTTTGCCATTTATAATTTCTACTCAAGAAATTTGGTACGACATCCAGTTTTTTCACTCTGAGTTGGTCGATACATTTGCAGATGACGGCGAATGCATTATCGGAAAGTGCAGATGAGTGTTTTGCAAATGGTATGGACTCCTTCGTGTCAAAGCCTGTTACTTTTCAGAACTTGAAACAATGTCTGCATCAATATTTATCGTAATATTGTCTGTAAATGTTTGCCTTGTATAGAAAATGAATGCATTAGGAAAGTTTTGTAATCGATGTATAATATTTTATAAAGGGTGTTTCTGTTTAACATCTGTAAATTAGTATCTTCTTGCTATGTATCATTGCTTTTCATCCGCAAATTTCATGAGTGCGACTTACAAATGGTACCCGCCAATTATTTCTATCTATTTATAATGAATAATGCTATACAGTCTCACTAGGGTTATAACCCCCAATTTAAGTAACACTTGATTATAAGGTGAATGAAAGGTAAAATTAAATTATTTATTTAATTTCACCTATCACTTAATGTCACATTAATGTCACCTCCATTGATGTTGTAACTCTAATAAAATTAAATAGCATTATTCATTTATAATTTTGACTGTTTATAAACAACTCTCAATCATGCTTAATCGATGCCTTTTATTGCTTTTTGAAGGGAGACTAAAGCTATGTTTGATTGCTCCACTTTTTTTCCATGAAAAATGGAATTGGGATTCCATTTCCAAGTTTTGATTGTCCAAAACTTTCCCTAGAATTGAAATTCCAACTTTCTTGCCACATCAACATTTTCCATGAAATCAAGGAATTGAAATTCTTACCAAAATGGTGAAAATTAGAATTCTCAATTACTGAAGCAAATTTTTTTTTTCGATTTTATTATTATTATTTTGCAATGGATACAAATTCTAAAAATTATTGTACAAAAATATTTCTTTTTAATCGATAATTTTCATGTAAAATAAAGTCAAACGAACATTTTTATTTTTTTTGGACAATGGAAACAAATTTCATCCCTAATGTCAATAAATTTTATCCTTTTAATTGACAATTTTCATGTAAATAATGTCAAACGAATACTAAAAAATACTTTCATTTCAACATTTTCCACGTAGAAAATTATATCAATCAAACACAATAATTTACAATTCTTAGGAAAACAATTTTTGGACAATTCAATTCCATGGAATTGATTTTTTTTTTCCACCCAAATTCCATCTTTACAATCAAACGGATCCTAATTGTTTAAAAGCTACTTTTCCGAAAAGTAGAAAAAGTAGGAATCACAGTTATTGCATGGGCAAACAAAGATTCATTCTCAACAACAAAATGAATAGTGTATGATGTTTCAAGATACATTCCGTACACAATAGTAATGGAACTAAACATGTAATGAACTTTTCAGTCATTTCCAGTACTGCACACCAACCTTCCACTTGACAAATAAATTCAGTGGCAGCTCATCTGTGTATATACATGGATCAACATCATACATGAACGGTAGTTAGAATCAGTATTGCTTTCGCAAAAGGTAATTCTTTGCTCAAACTTAAACATGAATGCATCTTGATGTAGATAAGCATATCACATCAAATTAATGAACTCCGTAAGCAATTGTTTGTCTAATTTTCATTGCAATTTTGAATTGGTTGAACCATACAGAATTAAGCTCACGCTACACTCACTCATCTCTTGCCGCTGGATCTAACCCAGCAGAAGGGCTATCAGCAAAATAATCTTGATGTTTGACATTCACACCATACTGCAACATAGATGACAAAGATCAAGTTACAATATCTGAAAAAAAAAAATTATATATAATACCAAAATGATCAGAGAACCATCTAAAGGTAGTTATGAGAATATGAACATCAAAACCAGGTGCTGCAATGGTTGAGTATTGTTCAAGATGCATAATAATACAAAGTTAAACACAGAACTAGCAAAAAACAGTATACATAGCTTAGAATTGAATAAACAAGCAATTGTCAAAACACCAAAATAACAGTCAAAACTTAATAGAGAAGTATCCCCCTTCAAAACACCGAAATATTTTTCGAAACTGTATGCAAGTAATTTCAGCAAACTTTCGAGCAAGCAATAAGCATCTTTCCGTTTGCCCATGCATCCAAAATGGTCAGAATCTGAAAATTTTGATTTTCCTCTTTATTTTATCTCCGAAAATTAATTTGAGGACTCACTTTATCTAAATCATGTCCTAGTGGACCAAGGATCTTCAATAACATTAATGAGACAGTGAATTTATTCATATACTTTTTTTTTCTATGTTATTGGTAATTTTGCAAGTCATTAGCCTCTATAGTTCTATTCAAAATTACATCATTGAGATGAGCAAAATATTATGAAATACTGTTTATTAGTTCACAAAGGGAATAGTAAAATTCATATCATGCCAAAAGATGGATCCTTGCAGTAATATGATGGATAAAAAATTATGACATCTACCTCCTGCAGTGCCTTGGAAAGATCCTCCATTGTCAATATTAGTCGCTTATCCTGTTACACAGAGGCATTAATCCTATTCATAACAACTTGAGATAAAATAAAGTACATTTATATTACCTTTTGCTGCTTATCTCTTTTGTCCTTGACGACAGCTGACTGCCTTGCCTTACACTGCCTGCATTGACACGGAGGAGAAAAATATTCCAAGAGCATCATCAACATAACAAATCAGAAACCAAAAGAACAAGTATTGAACAGTTTTAAGGAAGAATAATGAATGGTTAAATGCCAGCAAAAAAAGCATAACAAAATGTTAAACATTAAAGAAAGCCTAATTTTCATCTTAAAAGAGAATAAACAAATAGAAGAAAACAAGCACATACTGAAGAGCATCAGTTGCCACGTCAGCAACAAATTTCTGTGTAGCAACTGCCACCAGTCTTGTCCTACGACAATGAAACAGAACACGATAAACCAGAATGAGCTACGCATTGAGAAACAAACAAAGAACATGAAAGAAACACACATCAGCTATTTAAAAAATAAATAAAATGCATATTTTCACCTCAACTATCATATAGAGGGTCTTGGTTTAGCTAAGACATCCAAAACAAACCAACAAAAACAAGTCCACATATTCCAAAACTAAATATATTCATTAAAAACTTCACCAGATAATGAAAAATACACAGATCAATTTCCTTCTCACATAAACAAGAATAATACAGAATAATTAAATGCTGGAAACTAAAGTAAATGAAGTACCATTACAAGAAACACACATAATAGACAAATAAAAAGCAAATTCCACTTCCTTTTTTATTGATAACATTTTTCCCATCTGGTACAATTGATAGGCTTGCATATATACGCTTAGAGAGAGGCACGTAAATTCTCCAATTATAGGACACATCATATTCTTATAATAGAAATGAATCTAGTGAAGGTAAATACATAATCTGCCACCACTCATACACATCATAAAGATTTCCTAAACTTCATTTATTTCCCTTATATATTTCTAATATTATTCCAGTAGCTACAAAAAATCAAGGACAATACTGAAATAAATAACTACCTAAAAAATTTATTTAGCTATTATTTTAGGAGTAGATTTTGTAAAACTTTTTTTAGGGTCTAATACATAATCTGCCAAGACCAATACACATCATAAAGATTTCCTAAACTTCATTTATTTACCCTATATATTTCTAATATTATACCAGTAGCTACATAAAATCGAGAACATTGCTGACATAAATAACTATCCAAAAAGATAATTTAGGTATTATTTTAGCAGTAGATTTTTTAAAACCTTTTTAGGGTTTAATACTTACAATCGGACATCGGGGCACTGGAATCCGCTTTTCGCTAAATAATGCTCTACCAGTTCATCTGGAATCTATACCAATTAAAATTAAACATCATTACTATAACCTTTCAATTCATATGAATCTTTACTATAATCTTTCAATTCATAAGAATCTTTGTATGCGAATAAAGCATGTATATACACATGTAATCATTCTTACAGTGGGTGTATAATCCATCAAAGAAGCTAGAAAATCGGTGAGTGCAGCATCGTCATCGTGGCGTCCGTCGCTGGATTGCTGTTGGCTGCTCTGAGCGTTCATCTTCTCTGTCAGAAAGTTGGGGGCTGGATTTGAACAAGGGCATCTCTTAAATTCTGCAAAATCCTGTCTTAATTTTCCTAATTTGAATTAAGTCCTCAATCTATAGATTTAGTAGCAAATTGGTCATCTATCTATAAAATCTAGAATTTTGGCCCCAATCTTTCATTCTTTTGCGGAAATTGTCCAATTTATTGTCAAAATGCACATGTTGTGGTTGTGTGAGAGCACGAGTGTATCAACTAACTTTGTAAATTGTAATGAATTGTTTCGATTTTATCATCTGGAAGGAGTCTATCGAGTACAAATGTATCTAATCGAACATAGCAAACATGTAAAAGAAATAAAACAACTTTCTTTCTTAAATCTCAATCAAGTTTGGATGATTTAATCAGATAGGTATCTTGTAAACAGCATTGTTGATGCTATTGAATAAAAATATGCTATCTTATTTAGTTGTTTTTATTTTGATTGATACATTGGTAACAAAGACCTATTAACACATTTGGCAAAGAGTTGAACAATACTCTACTCGATATTAAAATGAAAATAAATAAATAAATAAAACAAAAGAGTCTGACATTTCGTTCATTATTTATAGTATCAAGTACCTCCAACTAACATGTCCCATCAGTAATAAACTTTAAATAAATGGCCATCCACTACTGCTATTTGCTAATCAGTTAAATATTCTACCAATATTTGTAAAAAATTGGCTTTGAATTGTCAAAAACTTAATGTTTAATAAATTTAATCACAATGTAAAGATCATCGAACGGCAGCGAGGTCTTCAAGTTTCCAAAAAACATTTATATTTCCAAATCGTTCGAACAAACTAGCCAGCATTAAGGGCTTCGAGCTGCCTTTTGAGATCTTCAAGGTCATCGACCGGGGTAGCGGGCTCCTCTGAGACTGGTGGTTTTTGAAACTCATCTGCACTTGGAAGCTCGTGGATGATACCCTCCGGCAGAGAACCTAAATATAAATGTTTTTTGGAAGTTAATCAAGAGAAGTAAACAACCAGCTAGGTTGCCAATAACACTTCGTAAAGAAGTCCTAATGAAAACATTCTGTTTTGACATGTTTGATATGAAACAAAGCATTTGGTTCATAAAAGCAACCAATGAAGTATTTCAAAGCGTTACATACTTGAACTTTTGTCCCTGAAAGAAAGCGTCACTATATCTTCATTTTTCACCAAGGATGTGTTATAAATGAACTTCTGTTTACCATACTCAATTTGAAAAGAAATACTTCCTCGACCCATTTGAATATTTTGTAACATATATCTACTCAAGTTTAACATGCACGTAGAGAGAGAGAACCTGAACTTATTCCAACATCTGAGCCTTGCAGATCAGTATCATCAACGACGCTTAATTACAATAAAGATAAAAAGAGTTATCAGTAGCCTCCCAAGAACATGAGGAGGGACTTGGCAGGCTACAAGAAGTAAAGAGGGTCTGGGAATGGGCAAGATAATTGACTCGGAGAGTTAGAATGCAAATGAATGTGCCATGAAGATTTATTAATCAGATTGATAATTATTGAGAAAAGGTACAGATGATAATAATGAGGCCCAAACATAAAAAATGAAAAATCAACCAAAGAGTTACCTTATGTTCCATTCATTATCTTCATGGAGGCACTTTGTTTCTGATGGTGCTTCTGCTTCCATCTTGGCTTTAGCAGCAGCATCCCTGGCAGGCTTTGCAAGAGCGTATTCTTTCTGCACAGTTGATGTAATATTGAAATGAAACAGCATAATACATATATTTCTGAAGAAAGGAAAGAACTCCTAAATCCAGGTCATCCTACCTGCCTCTCCAAACAAGCAGAATTAGAACATTGAGGATTTGGTTTCATTTCCATAGTTGGGAAGTAGTCTTTGAGGGCATTGTAACCCTGAAAACAAGTAAAACGAAAAATGAGACTTGATCTCACTCACACAGGATTATTCATGCATATTATACGTTCGTATTTACATAGATATACATATGGATTGATAGATACTAGATGTGTACATAGGTGTGTGGATGGTCCATAGCTTAATTTGAGGGAAGAGCATGACATAAGAAAGACCACCACGCAGAAAACTAAAAGCAAATCATTTAGAATATTTGGGTCGTAGCCCTCAAAATGATTAGAAAGTCATATTCACCACTTCAAAAAACCTCACCATGAAGACCTAGAAAACACCTCATATCAAACCTAGCCCCAACAGCCCCATGGAAAAGGACAAATCAGGCTCCATCTAGAAAAAGAATAGATACACATACAGGAAATGCATATCATGATAACATACATTACATCCATCTTTGAATTTAAATGCTCATGTAAATTACACACCCAACTTTACTTGTCCAATACTTCCATTGAGAGAATTATATGATAATACTTCATTTAAAGGCCTTCTAGGTGGTAAGATGGACAGACGTCGTCGTCTTGGGAAGTCTTATAAGAGGATAATCTTGTGTAAGGTTTGAGAGGTGGCAAAGAAGCTGGAGAAAATTCAAGTTGTGGGAAAAAGGTAGTCTTGATTTTTCATTTTATTTCTTATATATAGTGCTGTGTTACTTTACAAGACTGATCAAAATGGTGCTCCATTTAGGAATTGTCGTTAGCAGCTCAATCAATTGCATAGATAAATGTGGCCTCATCATAGGGAGTTCTATTTTGGGTGTAGATAGAGTTGAGTGTACTGTACTTTTTATTCAAAGATTTGCTGATATAAGTCAACAAAAAGACTTTCCCGTTCTTCAACATTTGGATCCACCATTTCACCCATCAAATTCTTTTTGACAAATGTTTAAAACTGAAAAATGAAACCAAAAATTGAAAATGCTTCCATGTAAACCCTATAAGAGATCAATTGAAGTTTCAACAAAACCAACCTATCCAGACTTTATTCAAAGATTTGCTTATAATAGGTCAGCCAAAACTCTTTCCCATTCTTCAACATATGGAACCACCATTTCACTCATAATTTTTTTCTGAGAAATGTTTGAGAAATGAAACCAAAAAATCGAAAATGCTGCCTTGAAAACCCTGTAAGAGAAGTGGCAGCTCATCTGTGTATATACATGGATCAACATCATACATGAACGGTAGTTAGAATCAGTATTGCTTTCGCAAAAGGTAAATCTTTGCTCAAACTTAAACATGAATGCATCTTCATGTAGATAAGCATATCACATCAAATTAATGAACTCCGTAAGCAATTGTTTGTCTAATTTTCATTGCAATTTTGAATTGGTTGAACCATACAGAATTAAGCTCACGCTACACTCACTCATCTCTTGCCGCGGGATCTAACCCAGCAGAAGGGCTATCAGCAAAATAATCTTGATGTTTGACATTCACACCATACTGCAACATAGATGACAAAGATCAAGTTACAATATCTGAAAAAAAGAATTCATATATAATACCAAAATGATCAGAGAACCATCTAAAGGTAGTTATGAGAATATGAACATCAAAACCAGGTGCTGCAATGGTTGAGTATTGTTCAAGATGCATAATAATACAAAGTTAAACACAAAACTAGCAAAAAACAGTATACATTTCTTAGAATTGAATAAACAAGCAATTGTCAAAACACCAAAATAACATTCACAACTTAATAGAGAAGTATCCCCTTTCAAAACACCGAAATATTTTTCGAAACTGTATGCAAGTAATTTCAGCAAACTTTCAAGCAAGCAATAAGCATCTTTCCGTTTGCCCATGCATCCAAAATGGTCAGAATCTGAAAATTTTGATTTTCCTCTTTATTTTATCTTCGAAAATTAATTTGAGGACTCACTTTATCTAAATCATGTCCTAGTGGACCAAGGATCTTCAATAACATTAGTCAGACAGTGAATTTATTCATATATATTTTTTTTCTATGTTATTGGTAATTTTGCAAGTCATTAGCCTCTATAGTTCTATTCAAAATTACATCATTGAGACAAGCAAAATATTATGAAATACTGTTTATTAGTTCACAAAGGCAATAGTAAAATTCATATCATGCCAAAAGATGGATCCTTGCAGTAATATGATGGATAACAAAATTATGACATCTACCTCCTGCAGTGCCTTGGAAAGATCCTCCATTGTCAATATTAGTCGCTTATCCTGTTACACAGAAGCATTAATCCTATTCATAACAACTTGAGATAAAATGAAGTACATTTATATTACCTTTTGCTGCTTATCTCTTTTGTCCTTGACGACAGCTGACTGCCTTGCCTTACACTGCCTGCATTGACACAGAGGAGAAAAATATTCCAAGAGCATCATCAACATAACAAATCAGAAACCAAAAGAACAAGTATTGAACAGTTTTAAGGAAGAATAATGAATGGTTAAATGCCAGCAAAAAAAGCATAACAAAATGTTAAACATTACCGAAAGCCTACTTTTCATCTTAAAAGAGAATAAACAAATAGAAGAAAACAAGCACATACTGAAGAGCATCAGTTGCCACGTCAGCAATAAATTTCTGTGTAGCAACTGCCACCAGTCTTGTCCTATGACAATGAAACAGAACACGATAAACCAGAATGAGCTACGCATTGAGAAACAAACAAAGAACATGAAAGAAACACACATCAGCTATTTAAAAAATAAATAAAAATAATATTTTCACCTCAACTATCATATAAAGGGTCTTGGTTTAGATAAGACATCCAAAACAAACCAACAAAAACAAGTCCACATATTCCAAAAGTAAATATATTCACTAAAAACTTCACCAGCTAATGAAAAATACACAGATCAATTTCCTTCTCACATAAACAAGAATAATACAGAATAATTAAATGCTGGAAACTAAAGTAAATAAAGTACCAGTACAAGAAACACACATAATTGACAAATAAAAAGCAAATTCCACTTCCTTTTTTATTGATAACATTTTTCCCATCTGGTACAATTGATAGGCTTGCATATATACGCTTAGAGAGAGGCACGTAAATTCTCCAATTATAGGACACATCATATTCTTATAATGGAAATGAATCTAGCGAAGGTAAATACATAATCCGCCACCACTCATACACATCATAAAGATTTCCTAAACTTCATTTATTTCCCTTATATATTTCTAATATTATTCCAGTAGCTACAAAAAATCAAGGACAACACTGAAATAAATAACTACCTAAAAAAATTATTTAGCTATTATTTTAGGAGTAGATTTTGTAAAACGTTTTTTAGGGTCTAATACATAATCTGCCAAGACCAATACGCATCATAAAGATTTCCTAAACTTCATTTATTTACCCTATATATTTCTAATATTATACCAGTATCTACATAAAATCGAGATCATTGCTGACATAAATAACTATCCAAAAAAATAATTTAGGTATTATTTTAGCAGTAGATTTTTTTAAACCATTTTAGGGTTTAATACTCACAATCGGACATCGGGGCACTGGAATCCGCTTTTCGCTAAATAATGCTCTACCAGTTCATCTGGAATCTATACCAATTAAAATTAAACATCATTACTATAACCTTTCGATTCATATGAATCTTTACTATAATCTTTCAATTCATATGAATCTTTGTATGCGAATAAAGCATGTATATACACATGTAATCATTCTTACAGTGGGTGTATAATCCATCAAAGAAGCTAGAAAATCGGTAAGTGCAGCATCGTCATCGTGGCGTCCGTCGCTGGATTGCTGTTGGCTGCTCTGAGCGTTCATCTTCTCTCTCAGAAATTTGGGGGCTGGATTTGAACAAGAGCATCTCTTAAATTCTGCAAAATCCTGTCTTAATTTTTCTAATTTGAATTAAGTCCTCAATCTATAGATTTAGTAGCAAATTGGTCCTCGATCTATAAAATTTAGAATTTTGGCCCCAATCTTTCTTTCTTTTGTGGAAATTCTCCAATTTATTGTCAAAATGCACATTGGGTGGTTTTGTGAGAACACCAGTGTATCAACTAACTTTGTAAATTGTAATGAATTGTTTCGATTTTATCATCTGGAAGGAGTCTATCGAGTACAAATGTATCTAATCGAACATACCAAACATGTAAAAGAAATAAAACAACTTTCTTTCTTAAATGTCAATCAAGTTTGGATGATTTAATCAGATAGGTATCTTGTCAACAGCATTGTTGATGCTATTGAATAAAAATATGCTATCTTATTTAGAGCCTGTTTGAGCCACATTATAATAAGAATGAGAATGAGAAATAGAATCGTTATGGACCCCACACCAGAGATAGAAATTCAAAAATGATGACTTGATGTGACGGATAATGGTCATATTTTTCATTTTAATGAGGTAAACATGTGACTCAAACAGAGGCTTAGTTGTATTTATTTTGATTGATACATTGGTAACAAAGACCTATTAACACATTTGGCAAAGAGTTGAACAATACTCGATATTAAAATAAAAATAAATAAATAAATAAAACAAAAGAATCTGAAATTTTGTTCATTATTTATAGTATCAAGTACCTCCAACGAAAATGTCCCGTCAGTAATAAACTTTAAACATTTCTAGGAGCCCTTTGCATGATGAATACCTGACTGTCGAGCCTCAACCGTGCCAAATGCAGGCTAGGATAGGACAGCCTTGGCCTAGGCTGCACCCGTTTGCCACCACTATACATGACGTTAACCTAATAATCCACATAAAATACAAGACGTCTCAAAGAAGGTATTCTAAGTAATGGAAGACAAAGGGCCCCAAAAAAAAAAAATAATAATAACCACAACTCATCTCCATGTTTAGATAGGTAAGTGGTCATCCACTACTGCTATTTGCTAATCAGTTAAATATTCTACCAATATTTGTGAAAAATTGGCTTTGAATTGCCAAAAACTTAATTTTTAATAAATTTAATCACAATGTAAAGATCATGGAACGGCATCGAGGTATTCAAGTTTCTAAAAACATTTATATTTCCAAGTCGTTTGAACAAACTAGCCAGCATTAAGGGCTTCGAGCTGCCTTTTGAGATCTTCAAGGTCATCGACCAGGTAAGCGGGCTCCTCTGAGACTGGTGGTTTTTGAAACTCATCTGCACTTGGAAGCTCGTGGATGATACCCTCCGGCAGAGAACCTAAATATAAATGTTTTTTGGAAGTTAATTAAGAGAAGTAAACAACCAGCTAGGTTGCCAATAACACTTCGTAAAGAAGTCCTAATGAAAACATTCTGTTTGACATGTTTGATATGAAACAAAGCATTTGTTCATAAAAGCAACCAATGAAGAATTTCAAAGCGTTACATACTTGAACTTTTGTCCCTGAAAGAAAGCGTCACTATATCTTCATTTTTCACCAAGGATGTGTTATAAATAAACTTCTCTTTACCATACTCAATTTGAAAAGAAATACTTCCTCGACCCATTTGAATATTTTGTAACATATATCTACTCAAGTTTAACATGCACGTATATACATGTGTGTGAGAGAGAGAGAGAACCTGAACTTATTCCAACATCTGAGCCTTGCAGATCAGTATCATCAACGACGCTGAAAACAAGTAAAACGAAAAATGAGACATGATCTCACTCACACAGGATTATTCATGCATATTATACGTTCGTATTTATGTAGATATACATATGGATTGATAGATACTAGATGTGTACATTGGTGGGTGGTTGGTCTATAGCTTAATTTGAGGGAAAAGCATAGCTTAATTTGAGGGAAAAGCATGACATTAGAAAGACCACCACGCAGAAAGCTAAAAGCAAATCATTTAGATTATTTGGGTCGTGGTCCTCAAAATGCTTAGAAAGTCATATTCACCACTTCAGAAAAGCTCACCATGAAGACCTAGAAAACACCTCATATCAAACCTAGCCCAACAGCCCCATGGAAAGGACAAATCAGGCTCCATCTAGAAAAAGAATAGATACACATACAGGAAATGCATATCGATAACATATATTACATCTATCTTTGAATTTAAATGCTCATGTAAATTACACACCCAACTTTACTTGCCCAACACTTCCATTGAGGGAATTATATGATACAACTTCATTTAAAGGCCTTTAGGTAGTAAGATGGACAGAGAGAAGTCTGATAAGAGGATAATGTTGTGTAAGGTTTGAGAGTTGGCAAAGAAGCTGGAGAAAATTTAAGTTGTGGGAAAAAGGTACGGTCTTGATACCAGTGCTGTGTTACTTTATTTCTTTTTCATTTTATTTCTTTTATACCAGTGCTGTGTTACTTTACAAGACTGATCAAAATGGTGCTCCACTTAGGAATTGTCCTTAGCAGCTCAATCAATTGCATAGATTAATGTGGCCTCAGAATAGGGTGTTCTATTTTGGGTGTAGATAGAGTTGAGTGTACTGTAATTTTTGTTCAAAGATTTGCTTTATATATGTAACAAAAAACTTTCCCATTCTTCAACATTTGGAACCACCATTTCACCCATCAAATTCTTTTTGACAAATGTTTAAAACTGAAACATGAAACCAAAAAATCGAAAATGCTGCCTTGAAAACCCTGTAAGAGTCAATTGAAATTTCACAAAGCAAACCAATCCACATTTTTAGATGACAAGACACAAGATTTAGATGCAATGAACCAGTCATCTACACATGCCTTCAGGGCTTCGGATCAATCCACTTATGGTAATTAGTTAAGGGTCAGACAGCACACATAAGAACCACATAAAATCGTTAGATGGTGTTCTTTGAAAATTTAGGATAAGTCATGTGATTGCCCAATAAGAAATAAGCATACAATAACAAATCAGCACAAAAAAATAAAAATTATTTTTGAACAGTATTCCCACATCTTATAGGTTTGTTGTTGATGTAGTGTGTGTGTGTGGGGGGGGGGGGGGGGGGGGGGTTGGGTTTGTCCAAGATTTACCAGATATGGGGTAACGTGGCCAAACTTTAGCAAATATTTAAGAGTATTTTGAACAAGAAGCCCAGGCAACAACTCCCTGTCAAGTCAAATAGATGGTCAGAAATACAATATTGAAAAATAGATTGTAAACCCTATATTTGAAGAGTAAGCAGCTGCTAACTTACCATCTAGTGGTCTAAAGATATATATAAAATGAATGCCATCAACAATGTGATAAAAATGTGATGCAGCACCAACTCGAGCAATTAATTGAATGTTAGAACAGATCTATGGGAAAGGTGGAATTGAAGGGAAGAATGGGGAAAGAAGAAGATTCTACAGTGAAGAAGAAAATAGGAAGAGAGAAGAAGAACGGGAAAGAGGGGGAATTTCGCCACAAGCCACCAAAATATTATTCATTCATCAACTAATAAAATTACATGGCAAAGTAAGTTTAAATAATAAAAACTAAAACCCTAACTAGACTGGGCTTGGACCGATGTGAGCCCAATAAGAATCCAAAACAAAATAAAGTCCACAAAATGAAATAAGGTTCAACTAGGAATAAATAAAAAGAGACTAGATGTCCTCATCAAAATGTTGTATAGAAAAATTGCAACTACACAATCTAATTCTTCATAAAGATAAGATATCACAAATTAAGATTAAGAAAATCATTTGATGATTGAGAAAACCATTAGATGATTGAGAGGTACAAAAATAAAAAAATAAAATTGAATCACAGGATCCGATTATTAATTCTGATTAATAAACCTTGAGAAAAAATAGGATAAATTGTCATTTCAAGTTGCTGAATCTTCATATTAACACAAGCCCAACCAAGAATATGGAAGAGGCTAAAAGAAGAGGCATACCATTGTAGTTGGTAAAGATGCAGCACAAACCCCTTCGCGCTTCAGTGTATGCGCATCAATTCCAGATGCTACAACCTAAGATGGATAGTTCCAGCCATTAAAGAATTATTCATTTTACATTATAAATTGCACATTAAGCAACATTTTTATTTATTTATTTATTTATTTATTTATTATTATTATTATTATTATTATTATTATTATTTTGTAGGCAAACCGCTGACAGTCTCTAAACAAAAGTGAATATTGAAACACGGCATTGTTATGATTAAAAATAAATCTAATCTACTTATTATGATAAATTGTCAAGCCCTGTTGTAATTTAAAAAAAGAAGAAAAACAGCTAGTATGAATCAAGTGCAATAACCATGTAGAGAAATTAAAGCAAGGATAATAAACCTACCAAGGGAGGCGCACATGCAAAACAGGCAGTTTTGCCTGGAATCAACAACTGTATATGACCTGAAACAGCATTTTCAGACACACCTGCACAAAAAGTGTTCATGTACATTCCACGTGAGGAATACTTGAGCAACTATTTAAATCATCTTTTTCACAAAGTAAAGACAGTTTATTGACATAAGCTAAAATAAGAGGGAAAAAAAAAAGCATAGCAAATGATTTAGGTGCTATTAGATTCCAATACTATTCAACACAATTGGCGCGTGTCGGTGTATCAAATATGCAAACCCTAAAAAGTTTCTCATATAAATTTAGCCCCTGTTTGAGCTACATTCTCTAAAAACACATTTTTTCTCCATCTCATTTTCAACCACTCTCTTAATAAAATAATTTTGTGCGTAAATCCAAAATTTTTACTTACTTTTAATCACACATTCTCCAAAAATCACTATTACAAGTTCATTTGTCACATAAAATGGGGCTCAGACAAAGCATTGATGTGCAAACTTAAACAAAATTATTGACCAGGGGAGCAAACAAAGTGGATGACTTATTTGCTACTAAGTCCCAAAACATGCACTTTGAGCTTACTCAATCCACATACAGGCGTGTATTCAACTAAACCAACAATTCCAATCCCATAATACAGCAAAAGCCAAGATATTCAAGTATGGAGGATTGCAAAGAAATTCGGTTGGCTTGCTTTTTAACATCCCAGTTCACTTGACATGATATTTTCCGCTTTGGGCCTAGCCAGCACAATTTTGTTCCTGAGCTTTCACCCAAAAGGCCTCATATCAATTAGGAGTAAACCTTTCACTTAAAATCAGTACAATTTTCCTTGCCAGGTGATGTGGGATTGTGGCTGCTACGACATGCTTCCCATGACCTTAGCTTAGAACAAGTAAAGGTACTATTTACTTTTTGGGAGAATGAACATTGAGATTTCTATTGTGTTCAGTGTGCAGGAACTGCAGAAGTAATATAGATCAACTAAAAGGTGTAGTTAAATTGATGTTATAAATATTATCAACACAATAACACGTGACAGATGCATAAAGAAATACACACATCTGAAATATAAAAATAAAAAATAAAAAAAATCTACGGAACAAGTCTCTTGAAAAATATATTGCCTTAGAAATCCCAATAAAATTGTTTTTGATTGAAGTTAGTACCTAGAAATTTTATCCGCTATAAGATGATTTTTTTATAAAATGTGAATTGTAAAAAGTTAAAATGTACATAGACTACAGAATACAAATTTCCAAAGCAGCCCGAGACAGCATATCATGTATTGAAAATTATTAGAGATGAAAAAATATGATGTGCACCCAAAATGACACACAGGTTTTACTTCAATTAAATCAAGCAAATTCAAGCACAATAGACTTCCCAAGGAAAAACCAAAACACAGGGCTAAATACATAATAGCCTGATAAATAGCTATCATGCAAGTGTTACAAAAATGCAACCCATATGCTCACAAGTCACAATAGGTTAAAAGAGAAGCAATCCATGCCTATGGCACTTGCTTGACCTTTTCTTCTTCCCTTTCCTATCTGCTAAGGGGAGAGTGCATCGATTTTATGTCATTATCTAATCTTCAGTACATTAGGTTAAGTGCAGGGGTTCAAATTAAATATAACCATAAGAAAACAAATCTCTACTGTTTGAAAGTGGAGTATGCTTTGATTCATTGCCCCTGTCAACCTTAAGAATACATCAGCAAGGGCATAAATAACTGTAAAGCATACTCTTCTCTTTCATAGTTTAAGCATAGATGAATCATTTGTGGCTATTCAAGTAGTAAAAAAACAAATAATGCCAGCTTCAAACCTTTCTGCCACTAGATCAAGGCTTCATTTATGAAATGAAGACTACTCTTGAGAATTGAGAAAACATGTCTTTTGTATATCTAATCACTTGTCTTATTACGGTTCTCGAAATAAAATTATGTTTGTGCTCACAATCAAGCAAAACAAGTCTCATACAGACACATGTAACAAATAGAAGGAACATCATGTTACTTACCAGATTCCATCCATGTCTGGTTCAACTCGTTGCAAGCCTGCAATGTGATATAATTTAGCTATAGAATTTAGTCATACAAAAGGAGAATGACACATCTAGTTTTCTACATTCTTCTCATATGAGAAGATTACTGCTCCATGTAATGTACGAAATTACAAGGCATTTAACCAAAACTACAGTGGATATTGTAAAGTTTCACAGAGAAATTTTTGCTCTTACCTGATTCACCACCATCCTTGCTTCATAATTATCTACACAGCTTAAAACAAGATCGACTCCACAACCATCTTTACTTGAGCAGAATGATTTATTTCTAAGACTAGACATAAAAGTTTCAAAGCCACGTACTGTTGTGATATTTAATGTATAGCTCTGAGAAACAAAATCAATTGGTCAACACTGCAGAAGCAAAAGAAAATAACATGAGAAACCAGACTGCGAGAGAAGGTGAGACTGGCAGAAAGGAAAAAATGATTGCCGAAACTTCACCTCAAGTACAACATCAGGATTTATGTCAGATAGAGTTTGGACAGCAGCATCTGTTTTTGTCAGACCAGCCTAAAGAAGGGAATATAAAATGTCTTGATACTATGTTTGAAAAAAAATATATATATAAATATATATTTACTCAACCCTGCAATTGCATACTGAAAGAGTTGGAAGAAGATAGCAAAAATTTTAATGTTATGCTTTCCAAGGTTTCTTGTACTATTTATTCAAGCTAGATAAGGTAAATATTTCCACACAGTTAACAACTCTTAAATTTCAACTGTCCTTTACTTCTTTTAACGAAAATTCCTGAAATAAGGTTTGTTTGGGTTTCATTTTCTTTTACTTAAATTTTACTTTACAAGAAACGAGGGGTGGAGGATAAGTGAATTGTACTTGTGGGTACTATGAAGTGTGTGGTCAAAATTAATATTTGACTTTGACAAGTAAAACTTAAGAAAAGAAAATGAAACCCAAACAAAGGCATAATACAGCTCAATAACCTAGCATTTTCCAGCAGTTCTTACACTTCTCCTAGTTTATGGCGTGACAAGTAAACTAACAAAGTCTATGAGTGAAAAGTTTAACAAGATTAATCAATAACAAATAAGTGAGGTTCAACTATTTCATGAAGTCAATGAATATAGTTGCCGAGAAATTCTTAAATCTCAAAATTTTAAAAAATTCTCTAGGAACACCTGCTTCGGACGAAAAAATAGCCGGTTCATGTTAGCTAACTCCACTGTGTCATAATCATACAACAGAAGGTGACCTATACCACACCTTGTTAACACCTCGGTAGCAACACTGCCAACACCACCTATACCCTGTAAAGGAATATAGTAGAATCTAAGCACCAGTTCAAAGTCTGCCCTTTCAGCATAGATACCAATACAAAGATTAAAGAAGATTATTAACCTACAGACTACAAGTAAATGCATTAGAGAGATTCAAGACTCAAAACTCAGACACTGGAGGAAGCCTGAAAGGCATCAATTGGTCTGATATATGTAAATATTCTCCATTGGTAAGTGACAGGTTATTGCTATTCTTGGCGAATGATTAACATTATTAATCATGAGCATTACAATTTAGGGCATAAACTTCTGAAAAATTGAATTCATAACAGAACAGAAGTTTAAAAAGAGAGGAGTTAGGTACAGACAACTATGGCAACCGAAAATTCCCGAATTCTTTCATAATTGTCCACAATACCCATTTTCTGAAGTGCCATTAGTCTACTGTAAGGATTGCTATCAACCACCTCAGCGTTCATATCCTGTAATGCAAAAAGGCATGCACATCTTATTGAGCTTATTGCTTCACCTGGATAGAGCATTTAACGATAAAATTTTTAACAAATCCACCCGATTTTTGAACGCTGCCCTGGCCCTATTGTCGTTGTCTTAGAAAGATGCTCAACACGTGATTCCATCTACAAACACAACACTCCAATATCAATTCACCACATATACAGTGAGACTTTATATGAACACATACAAATTGATATTTCATGATGTAGTTTTATGGTCATCACATATTGTTATTCTGGTGTCACGTCTCAAGCAATTAATGCTCGTAAATGATAAATCAGGGATTTTGACAAAATTGAAGCATAAGTTAAGAGGCTCTTGTTAAAACCTCAAATATGGCATGCCTTAAGCCGTGAGGTTTGAGGTTCTTTAAGGAAGACCTTAGATGACCCTCACCTCAAGGTGTAAGCCTCAGGCACTTCTTAAAACAATGCAATCTGCTAGCATCAAAATGTGCCACTGTAAGTATATATTCTATCCATTGTATGCTAATAATATTTTTAAACAAGGTCTTAGAATTTTGCCACCTTACCAACAGCTGCAACGACCAAAGCATTGGTCTGGCATGAGTAAAAATATGAAGGCAGCATGCATGGATTTATTGTACATTGACAATGTATAGGATATAAATTAACTATATGACAATGTATACAAAATTAACCAAGATATCTCCCACGGGAACTCCAATGGAACGTGGAGGAAAAAATTCCTTGTTTGTATATCTTCTCTCTACCCCCCAATTTGATAAGATTCCAGAGATAGCCTTGATTACTTTATTCCAGATATCTAAATTAATATTTACTGTTTTTGTTTTTTGACAACCAAATTCTGTTTGATCCTAAAATTTATTTCTGAAAGCAGAAGTATAAAAATGCCACACACTTCCAGTTCCATTTTCCGTAGTAATTCCAGTTCTAGGGCCCAAATTTAATGTCAATACAAGAGTAACAAGACCACCGGTAAAGATCCAAATAGTAAAAAAAATCATCATAGTTTCATATGAACATAAACAATTAATACTTAAATGAATACATTTTCGATCAGAGCGTACTGAGAGCGATCAGGCAGAGAATTTTTGAGAGTTTTGATATCACTCAACAACTCTTTCAGCTCCCCCTCCATTTTCCACCGTAGAAATTACAGTCTCTTAATTCAACTATAAAATTTCTGCGTGTGAAAAGATACAAAGAGGATTTGAAGCTTTTCAGCTCAAAATTGGAGTAAATAAAAAACTGTTTTACACAAATAAAGAAATTCTTATTAATACATATCGATGATCGGAATCTGGGATTTCTCTTTTTTCCATGAGAGATAAAAAGCCGGCTTGCTGTGACGTGAACGACTGTCTACAAGCGAATAAGAAGCCGCCACGCAGACAAAGGAAATCCTACTAATTTACAATTTTATTATTATTATTTTTTGAAATTTCAAGTATAATGTTCTTTACTCGAGTCCATATGAACAAGAGTTTCAAATATCTACAATAATAACACTGTTTTTAAGTATTAAAATGAAATGTTGTACTCTGTTTATATTTCGATGTAATATTATTTGCATTAAAAAAACCCATTGTTTTGTGCCATGCGGTTGAGTTGAAGGGCGACTCTTAGTGATGACAATTTACCTTATCCCGGTACCACCCCGCCCCGCCCTGAATGGGGCAAAAAAACCCACCCCATCACGGGCCGCAGGGCATCCCCGCCCCGAACCCGGCCCGTGAATTTTTTTTTTTATTATTAAAAGATTAGGGTTCAACTTGCTTCAAATAGAAGGATGTGACCTATTTTCTAATATCCTCAATTGTATAAGTCTTATCAAATTTGAATAATTTATATATACCATTTTACTACTTTGTCAAATTGATATTATATTGATAAAAACAAATATAAAAAGATATAACATGTTCAACTGAACAAATTTGAAAATCTATATATTGTAATAAATTAAAATGTGTGGGGTTACAACTTTTGTGACGATATCAAAGGAAAAAACACAAAAAATCTTGTTCATCTTAATAATCAATGTTGTGTACTAATAGCGACCATTATATTTAAGATTTGTCGTATTTACTTTGGATATTAACTTTGTCAACTTGAATATTATTTATATTTTATTGAACTCGAAATTAAAAAAATTGAACTTAAAATAAAAAAAATAAAAAATTAAATTAAATTAAATTAAACGGGGCAAAAAAACTACCCTGCCCCTCCCCGCCCCGTCGAAGGCGGGGCGGGGTGCGGGGCAGGAGAAACGGGGCGAGGACACCCAACCCCGAACCGCTCCGTTGCCATCACTAGCGGCTCTCATCACAAGAAAGCATGCCGTCTTGCCCTTCCTCAATTTCCAATGGTCTATTGTCAAAATTCAATCCAATATCAAGAGTCGATTTGAAACTTATTTATAATTCAATCTAACTCATTTCAAAAAAATGGACAGACTCGAAATTGTTATGATTTCATTGGGATCTTAAGAATAAGAATAAAAGATCAAATCAATCAAACTAATATAGTAACAATGACAATCACAAAAGAAAGAATAATTATTAAACCTCCACTCTTGCTTAAATGGCTAATCAATGAATTAACAAACATTTATATTGCCCTAAAGGGGAAGATTATAATATACTTTTGGCAAAGCATAGTTGATGTGAAAGCATGATTATTTATTGTTGGGCAACCCAAATCCTTATCTATGAAGAAGACATGGCTGACTTAAGAAATGAAATATGTCATATATTCACCCTCGCGTGGGAACAATCATAGTGCGCTCCCCCGCCCCCTTGCATACACTTTTTTCCCCATATCACATACTCACTTTAGTCGTGTCAATATATTTTGCACACAATATTAGATAGTTGTACAAATATATCGTGTAATATTTTTAATTTTTATTTTTGTACATCTTATTTAATGCGGCACAACATGACATATCAACATGATCATGTACACAACAACAAGATCATTCCGTAAATATATAAATTTAACATGATTGTGCATACAACAATAAGATTCTTCCATAAATATATAAATTATATGTCTAATCCATTTAATGAGCTACAATGGATGTGGAGTCTAAAATTGACATTTGTTGCTTGAGATTCAAGTCTGTTAGCTAAAAATATCTGTTAAATACATCTAGTTCTCAGTCATTTTTAAAATTTGTAAACTAGTTTTATGAGTTTGTATGATATTCGAATCATACTACAGTGACATAATTCTTGACATAATGTTATATGATACTTTATCATTAGACTGTTTTAAACACAGCCAACTTTTATTTATCTAACCACATCTTGCCAACATCCATTCTGTCACTCTATTTGTCAACTGACATAACCCATAATATTATTTGATATTCGACTAGTACATATAATTCGATTAGAATCTAAATTATACAAAAGATTATCTTCATTTTTGCTATAAAGTCCTTGTATTGGTAATTAGTTTAACAAAAGGAAAAAAGTAGAGTTGAGTATGCTTTTTTCGAATTAGTGGATGGTGATGAAATCTTGGGTCCATAAATTATACACACTATCTAGGATATGGTTTGGTGTTGCAATAAAAACAAGACAATGCTTGTCATTTCATTTCACGGCCATTTATACTTTATTCCTTCTTTCCATGCAAAACTTAGTTGTGCCATTATCAAAATGCTCCAAATAGAGAATGACAAGGGCTTGAAAAGATGGTGGTGGTGGTGGTGGTGGGGAGCTCTTCCCGGCAGAGATGGGGACATGAAATGGTGGTGCCGGGTGGTGCTTTCAAGCCCGCCCCACCCTTGGTCGACTTGCCGATTTCTTTATAGCTCCTCCATGGTGCCTACTAGAGCTAAAAAATTTGTAATTCTATAGAAAATATTTGATTATACATAAAATGTGTTGTGACTTTGGGTACAAATTTCTCATAATATATGATGTGATTTTTCCAAATGGTACAATATGAACAACTGATTATCCCATCATTTTATATTTTCGACACGGGTTATATTAAACTTTTGAAAAAATTTATATTGTAAACTTATACAATAATTAAAACATCTTGCAATTCGTGGATATCAATTTCAATAGAATATCACGCAATCAATCATTAATGACTTCATACAAGC